TGAAAGGAAAGGTCAACCTCTTCTAGGAAGAGTGTTTTTCCCATCACCTCTCTTCAAGCATTCAAGAGAGACAAGAGTGTTTTACTCATTACTCTTGTCACTTGCCAGATTGGCATGAAGATGCTGATATTTCAATTACCCTATTTCTTTAAAGTGAAAGAGGGCAGAGGAAAAGGGGAAGACCAAAAGTTGAATCCCTTTTCCTAGGATAACAGCCTGTTTAAATTAGAAGTTTAACATCAAAATCAGGATTTTAACTATATTTTGTGTCTTCGAACGGAATATGGTGGAGTCCTTTTGTGCGTGTATTTTTTATATTTAATTAATTTCTTCAACCACTGAGAAATTTCAGGTTTTGCAAAAAATTGTCTCTGTCATTGCTTTTCTGCACAGAAACCTTGTACTTCGAAGATATACTTGCTGCGATGTAAAGCATGAGTTTCGAAAACAGTCTGCGTCTTGAAAAATTTTTCCTAAAGCGAGCAGACACCTATTGGGAGGACTCTCTTCAGTTCTAGCATTTCGTTCGGATCTTTTTGCCTGATCTCAAAAACATGTTTGCTAATCTCAAATGAGGTTGGATTTTTCAGAATTTCAGAAAATCGTTTGTGCGTCACGTTGGGTCATTGAATACTCGATAGAAAGAAACTACTGTATATATGGAAACATGACGCGGTATCCGAATTTTACCATTTCCGCGTTACTTTCAAATCCTGCCCATGTCAACGAAAATGCGAACCCAGGTTAGTCATTGTACAAACATACGAAATTTTTGCCGTAGTGATTATACTGTATACTATTTTTTATTATAGGCGAAAGAAGCGACATGATTGACTTGATGAAGAGAGCAGACTCTAATGGTCAACAACGAGCATTAAAACTTCTGCTTCCTTCCGAGGAACAGGCATGTTACCAAATGTCTACTCCATCACGGCAATTGTTATTTCCAAATGGAGCACTTCAACGGGACATTATGTCAATTGAAAAACCAGAGGAAATCAGGAATTCGATCACGGCTTCTAGTTTAACCCTGACAATGAATCAAGCCATTGGCGTGGAGTTGCACAAGAAACGACGATCCAGGGTACGGTTGAAAATAATTTTAGGTTCTTCCTCCACAGCTGTTCAGAACTCTTTATTTTATAATGCAAGAATATTCTCTTTCCCAAATTGCATGAAGATACTACATTTGAATGAAATGCAAGCTGATGCAACCATTAAAATAAAAATTGCGCAGGAAATAATGAAATTGAAGAAGTCAAGCCTCTGCGAAACCTCTGGTCTGAGAGTCCGACTGCCTGATTAATTCCAAGATGCATGTAAATTGTTCTTTAGTTTTTCAAGCATAATTTTGAGTGGGATTTTCATTTTATTTTATTTTTATGCAGAGAATATTCTTTACTTGCATCAGATTGGATCATTTGCATGTAGTATATGCCACAGTGTATTCAATTCATTATCCAGCCACAAATTGGTCGACAATTAGTTGGCAATACAATATTTTCTGGGAAAATTATGGTTTTATTTATTTCATAGGTGGCTTTCACACCGAATCAGGTCTTTGAACTAGAGCGTCGATTTTCTCTGCAACGATATTTAACCGGACCTGAGAGAACAGAGCTGGCCATAAAGCTGAATTTGACAGAAAATCTTTTATTTCATAGGTGGCTTTCACACCGAATCAGGTCTTTGAACTAGAGCGTCGATTTTCTCTGCAACGATATTTAACCGGACCTGAGAGAACAGAGCTGGCCATAAAGCTGAATTTGACAGAAAATCAAATCAAGGTGAGTCTCACTTACCGACGCTTCAAATATCAAAATTGTGTGTCTATGCTTCATTAATCGCTGGTCATAAAGGAGATTTAGTATCTCAAATAAATCAAATTAATATTTCTTTTGACAAAGCCGATGGAAATAATTGGGTACGTTTTTCGTAGATATGTTCAAAAGTGTTCAAATTCATCGACGAGGAAAACACTGTCACTATACGCAAGAAAAATTTTTTAAATTCTGCGAATCATGTTGGATGAAATGAGTGAAGCCAAGTTTAGTTGAATTTTCTGCTAGTCATGTATCCGTACCCTCTCAAGTGAAGTGAAATTCGAAACCACGAAAGTGCTTGCCATGGAATTTATTCAAGGAATGAAATAAAACTTAAGTTTATTGAATAAAAAGAACCTCAAAAAAGTCGAAATACGAATGCGACTCAAAAAATATTTATCAAGCTTAATGCTTCCGACATGATATGATTTGTTGAAGGATAATTTATAGGAGCAGTACGAACTACTCTTAAAGCTTAAAACTTACTTTGTAGGAATAATGTATTCCTTCCATTTCAAAGTACTGTACTGTACTTCTCGTTCTTTAAATTCAATCGATTTCTTTCGTTGATATCAAGTTATAAATTCTTGGAAATATGAAAAGGAACGCAATCTTTCAAAAATGTTGCTTCATTTGGTCCAAAATACTTCCTTATAGACCCATGCAAGAACAGTTCCGCTTAATTATTGCATGAGGTACCTTAATTTCATAGTGACGAGGTTTATTTTTCCTGACTGAGTTTGAGTAACACGAATGAAATTTGTAGAATATGCATAATTAATATCCGATCGATTTGGATACTATTTTAGCATGTTTATTGCGATTTAATTTTTCAATTTTTGAAAGATTTTTGTTTCGAAAGCTGATGATGAATATTGAAATCCAGTGTAACTACTGGACGAAGCATTGCAAAAATAGAAGTGCTAGTTTTATTTATTGATTAATTGATATAGAGGTGGCATATCTCGCAATTAACCATTCCACAATTTGACCATCAGACAATTTCAATGGACAAATTTCCTGGGATGTTAGCTTGCAATTTGACCTCTGCCTTGCATTTCAACCTTCAGAGAGACCCCAAAATTCAAATTTGTTGCATAAAACGTCTAATTTGACATTATCTTGCAATTCAAGTGCTTCACAATTTACCCTAGCCTGGCAATGGATTATGGTCGAATTGCGGGGCACCACCTTTAAAAGCTATGTTTGCCGCTTGTCAGAATTAAAAAGATTCACAACATTTTCCCACAACCAAACACACACACACACACCCATTTGACAGATTCCAAGAAATTTAAAATACTGTAATCCACAAGAATAGGTATTTAAAAAATGCTGTGCACAGTGTTATACATACCAAAACATGAGTAATGCATGGCCATAATTCTTTTTTTTTAATCTAAGTATGACGAAAAATCACAAAACCAAGTAGGCTGTAAAATTTACCCGAAGATGTGCAATAAACAGACGGATTCAGTGGACAGCAGATCGCTCATCTAAATTTAATTGTCGTTGCAGATTTGGTTCCAAAACAGACGATACAAGACCAAGAGGAAGCATTTGTTGGAGTCCAATAGCAGCAGCAGCAGCAGCAGCAGTGCCACTTCCGATCCCGCCGTCATCGACCTGAACGCTGGCGCAACGTCGACAGCTCAACTCCCGTCGACAGGCTTGGAACCGAGTTTCATGCGCAGGAGATTCTCGCCCCCGGTGTCGAGCAACTTTTATCGTCGGCTTTTGCCTCATCATGCCGTCCATCATGCGCACTCGCAAATCCCGGATCATCGAGTCACGCCGTTTTGGCCACTGCTGGGCTTTCCGCACACTCAAATGTCATTGCTACCGTCCACCGTGTCGCCCAACTTCGACCTGATCAGCAGTATCTACAAGAAGAACTTGCTGGATTTTGCCTTGGCTTCGAGACACGTAGCCCAGGTTCACGGGAAAGGGAACTGCGAAGTCACGAGTGCTGGACCGAATTCCCCGGTAGTGTCGGAAAGGACGGACTAACCCGCAAAACTTTGAAAATTGTCAATTGGACAGTTTATATGCATTACAAAGTTCGTTTAATTCTCCCGAATACATCATCACATCATTCGCTCAGATGAATTCTTCGAAAATGTTTAAAGACGGAATAAATAGGTGTGGAGTCACTGAAACAGTGGTCAATTGAATTTTGTATTTAATTAAGCAAAAGAGATCTTTATCGATTACCTGTATACAGTACCGTAAGCATCTGACAAATGGTTCTTGTGACCATGCTGTGGCACTCAAGAGTCGGGACCATAAAATTGCATACCATATGAAAGGGAATTGAACAAGCTTTCATTTATCGTTTATTCTATTTCTTGCAGCTCAATTTTCTATGAAGGTATCTGTTAGAAAATATCGGCTCACTTTTTTTGCCCACCCTGTATCGGTTTTATTTGTACTTAAATGTATAATGTATAGCGAAACCAATTTTAATGCACAACATTATTTTTCGTTTTGTTGATACATTATTGCTTTATTTTCTATCATTTAACTCACATTCGAAGTCTTTGATTCGGCTGGTGCATAACTGACCATTTTCAAGTCAATAATATAAGATCATCCTGATGTGCGTGAATAAAAATAAATTTTAGCAATAAGTTATATTTAAAAATATGTTACTATATTTCCACCAGTTATGATGTGAGCTTGTGCGAATCGAAAGAATGTATCAATTAAAAAATAACATAGACTGAGGTAAACTGGTGGCACAAGCAAAGTGCGCGTTTACAAGAAAGTCGAGTTCGACGCAAATACCATACAAATAACCGTACTGTATCTTACTTCCTTTTCAATACAGTATTCCTATTTTACGCCAGCGCGTAAATGAATTGTCGGATGTGTGTCTCCTGTCCATTTTTCCAGTTAGACGCTTGTGCAGCTCTCGTCAGAGTTATTTCTGCTCACTTAGTCATCGCCGTCATCTAGAGTTCTAGAGTAATCCAGATGTTTCACCGGAGAAAGCGTTCTGGAGGTATTGCCGCTGCACACTTTGGAAATTAGCAGATGAGGTGAGCCAGAAGCGCAGGGATCATGAAAACATGTTCAAAGGTGCCGCCGAACTTCCGGTCGGGTAATGCAAAAATTCGAACACAGCTATAAAATCCATCTTCGCAAGATAATTCCGGATGTTTATAAGTGCTCAAACACAGAATTTATTCTTCAAAAAAAATAGTTTTTTGTATTTTAAAGACCATATTTGCTTCGCTGTGGGTCTGTTCTCTGTTCACACGAATAAATCATGAACATAATAATACACTGATATTTTTTTTCGTTCAACGGAAGGGGTAATTTTAAATTTCATTTAGTTTTCTCTTGAAAACTTCGCGAAGTTAATTTTTTTGGCAACAAGCATTTAGAATTAAACACAGTACTAAAACAACAGTACATTTTTGCGACATGTGCGAAAGGAAAAAGTTTTTACGCAGAATCACTCACATCTACTTCCAGAAATTACGTACTAAAAAGCAGTAGGAATGTAAAGTGAAGAAATAATGAGGCATCATCTGCGCAAGTACATAGACCACAAATAAATAGTATTGAATCACAATAATATCGTTATTTTTTGCTGGTGCTATCTGTCTCATAAAATTATCCAGGTAATCACGCAGCAATTTTCGTAAACATTTCTTTTAAGCCGTCTTAGAAGATTTTTTCGTGAAATTCGATGTGATTTTTTGACATCGACACGATACGTTGATTTTATGATTTAATAAGTTATATTCTCGACTCTTCAAATTCATGGTTTCAGCATCGCGAGAAAACTTGAAGTTCAAGTCATAAATCTTCGCTTGAATGAATGCCATTGAGCGCCATTAGGCGGGAAATAATGATAATTAATTTTAGTCATCGTGGAATAGACAAAAGCAACCTAGAAACAAATGAGAGAAATTGAAAAAAAAGTTCAAATTTACCCAAGACAAAGCTCGGCAAAATGTGGGTCATCTTGAAGGATAAGAAGAAAAGTCCCGTGGATCTTGAACCACGTGTCGACAGAAAAAAAACTACTGACGCTTCTTGTTTCGTGGAAAAGTTCTGAGGCGGTGTGTTGAAATACAAGCAAGCTGTGATTTTTTTTTTACTTTCCATATAACTGCTGCAGACATTCTTTGCAATAAATTAATGGACTGAAAATAAATCTCCGTAAGAATCTCCCGCGTTTTTCAGGAGTGTTTCCGAGGAAGATGCGTGGAGGCGGTCGATGACAACTTGAGACGCTGACGGCGGCAATTAGCGAGCAGCATCTGCCCCCGGCCAGCAATGCACACGTGCCCCCACTTATTGAAGGCGCCTTTCTTTCATTTTCATTTTGTTCACTTTTCAGGGGGGGTGCTTGTCAATCCTCGAAAAATAGCGGCGCCCTTTTCTTCTTGCGCACAGATCACTTCTGTTACTAGTCCTGCTCTTCGTCCGGGCACTCAATCACTATGCAACCAGCTCGTGCAAGTGGCTTTGACGAACCCAACAGCTTTTCTGCAAATTTCTCATTAGTCGAACAAGCTTAAAAGAAAACATCCGGGGAGTTGCCGTATTCCGAAAGCAGAGACTGATTGTTTGAGAGGAATCTTTCGCTGGGCCAAGGGAACACAGTGAGAAAATGCCTGGATGGATACAAATTTAGGGAGTAAGGCACGCGTAATAAGAAAAAAGAAACGATAAAATCTGGAAAAGTTGTATCAAAGATGAATCAACACGGAGAAATGATATAATTTGAAATATCCTGCAAGATTTTTTCAAGAGCACGAAGAGACAGAATTTATAATTGATCGATGGCTTCGAGATTCCGAAGCATAGTCATTGGAATTATGAGACTTGAGTTCAGTTGCACATCATTGGCAATTTGTGTTCAATCGATTTCATTCATAATAAATTTGTCTCATAACTCGATGAACTTAGCGAATCTGCTATAATTTCTGTTGTATTCTCCTTCTGCAGATTAAGTATGGATATTTCTAGAAAATTCGGAATGCTGTGATGACATGAATAGCTAGACATCCGCAAAAAGTCTGCTCAGCCGGATTCGTATTGATCGGTGTTTGATTCAATGAATGATGAATAACTCGAATTTTCCAGATTTCAACCAAAAGTTATCTTACTGAACATCAATAGTTGCTATATACATAAATACCAACCGAAGTTCATTTTCATAATTCGAGTAGTGATCCAAAACACGAAGCTTTCGCAGCAGAATATAAAACGCTGTTCATTACAGAAATTTCCTGACTCACAAACAAAATCCATCATCGGACTAAAAGCTACAGAACACAGGGGCATTCATTCATAAATCCGAACTAAAACACTGTTTTTCCGAAACTAAAGAAAACCTCGTCACCCGGACACCAGAGAAAATACCGTCACGCGAAGAACTGTTCGTTCAGAGTCGCCAACGGGGGCAAGAGATAGAAGAAAAAACAATTGTTTCTCTCAGTTTCTCGCTTGAGCAAAAAAGCCACACATTAAGAACACCGAATTTGACACAAATTGCGTTCCGGAAGAATGCAACCATTTCCCTTCGTTTTCCTGTCAATCACATCGCTTAAAATACTGCAAGCGACATGCGTGGTTTCCATTCTTCCCCTCTATAGGGCAAAAAACGACAATACTCCTTCCCGAACGCCTCGATTAACCGTGATCTAGTTTTCCTCCTCAATTGCTGGAGGTCGTCCAAAAAATCTAACCCCATTATGTTCCACAACGACATCTCACAAAAACTTGCTCACTTTTTTCCATTAATATGAAAAAATCTCTCACACACGGCTTCCAAAATCAACCAAACAATTGCACAACTGAAACAACCTTCTTGGATGTAAAGGAATCAATCATGTACATTATAAATGTTTCCAAGCCTCGTCATGCAGTGTTGAGTGAACTCGCCACCGAAAAGAGGCTAGAAATATCACAGAGCTTTGGAACAGTACAAAAAGCACATGAAAGAAAAGCATAACTTAAAAAGATATAGTCTCGACTGTCGATTATTCAAGCGCGGTACAAAAAGAAGGGGAGGGAAGCGACACCTATAAAAGAATTTGACAGAGATCGCATTGTCGTTTAAGCGGTGGGCTTCTAGAGAGCGTTCACAGTTTGGTTGTTCTTCATCCGCTGACAGTCCAGCGTTGCCAGCACGGTTTCCATGCCTTCGGGCGGTGCCCTGTGTCCACCGTCATTTTCGACGACAGTGACGACGGAAACTTCGCTGAGACTTCGCAGAACACCACTTCCGTTGCTACTTCCGCTGCCATAACCTTTGTCGACGCTCGGCGGGACAGAAATAGAAGACCAATCGACATTTGTCGGAGATGTCACTGATCTCGGGTGGGAAACCATTCCTGGATTATAGTAGGTCGTGATTACGTTTCCTGGTGACGCTTGGTTGTAGTTGCCTGCTGCCATCAGGAGATCCGGTCGGTGTCGTTGTTGGTACATGTCCATCTGAGTCTGTCGAGGAGAAAAAAATAAGCACGAGGCTCTTGAGTTTTGAAATTTTGACCAACAAATCTGATCTGTTTTGCAGGATCAAAATTCATTTCCCTGCGGCACGTGCGTCATCCATGAAGGAAAATTTCATTCTCCAACCGAGACAATCCGACACTTCCTTTTGTGTGGGTAGATGTCACTCACGGCCTCAACTACAAAATGACTTTTCGAGATCATAAAATACAATACTGTACTGTAGCAGAATTCAACCTAAATTTGACTTCATCCTCTCGCGTGTTCATTACCATTGCTGCAGTGGGATAAAAGGGGTATGATTGATCTGGTCTGTGTGGAGCTGTAAAATATGTTCCTGAATCCAAAAATAGATTTTAAATTTTATTTTCATATAATTTTAGGTGTACTGAATTGAGATAAAGTTGACATCAATTCAGGTAAAACACAAAATTTCAAGCTACTGACATTCATAGAAAAGACTGTCGGGGGTCGAAATCCGCCTGGTACGATCCAAAATGTACATTTTTTTTATGGTCCACAATGCAAAAATTGTGTTTGGCATTTCAACAGTTTAAAAATCGAATTTATATTTTTCTACGAACAATCATGCCCCCTACAGATTAAGATGCCAAAACATTCATGAGCACTTCGTTAGCTCTGCATATAAAGATCGAATGGGATGCACGGTCAGCGTTTCTCAATTCAAACTGCATATGTACATTCGAAAATTTGCATGAAATTCGAAAGCTTTTGAAATTCAAAAATATGCTGCCGTGACCAGGATTCGAACCTGGGTTATCGCGGCCACAACGCGAGGTACTAACCACTATACGATCACGGCTTGCTTGCTCTGATTTCAGTAGTTTACTTTTACTAATCCAGAACTGAGGAGGAGAAAATTCGCCCAACCATGAAGGTGGAAAAGTGAGGAGGAACAAGTTGACCAGGAAAATGCACACGACAGAAATACGAGGGACAAGAGAAACGGTCATTCGCAGCAGCAGAACTTCATTGCTCTGCTCCATCATAAAAAAAAAAAATTTACACCTAGGCAGCACTGCGTGTTTCCTACTCTTTTTGTGAACTTTCATTCAAGATACTGAAAATATTTTTTGTTCAATTATCTTTTCAAATTAAAAATATCTGCCGAAGATTGAAATGGTTGACTATAAAAGGGTAATTCGACTGTTAACAGTCAACTTGACAATAAACAGATGATTTGTCTATACAAACAAGCAATTTGACAAGAACTGGACAATTTATTAGCTCATTACCATTCGAATAGGATTCACTGTCGATCAATTCATCAGTTCCAACTGCGGAGTCTTAAACATTCATAGGTTTGGTTGAAATTTCAAAGTTTTTCACAGCAAAAAAAAATACTGCCGAGACCAGGATTCGAACCTGGGTTATCGCGGCCACAACGCGAGGTACTAACCACTATACGATCACGGCTCACATGTTCTAATTTCAATGGTTGGTTTTCACTAATCCACAGCACAGGAGGCGAAAATTCGCTCAACCATGAAGGTGGAAAAAGAAGGAGGAAGAAATTGACCAGGAAAATGCACACAACAGAATTACGAGGGACGAGAGAAACGGTCATTCGCAGCAGCAAAACTTCATTGCTCTGCTCCGTCATTAATTTTTTTTACACCCAGGCAGCACTGTGCGTTTCCTTCTCTTTTTATAAACTTTCATTCAAGATAAAGAAAATATTTTTTGTTCAATTATCTTTTCGATTCTAAAATTAAACATATCTGCCGAAGATTGAAATGGTTGACTATAATAGGATAATTTGGCTGTGAACAGTCAATTTGACTATAAAAAGGCGATTTGTCTATATAAACAAGTAATCTGACAAAAACTGGACAATTTATTAGCTCTATACCGTTCGAATAGGAATCATTGTTGACGGATTCATCAGTTCCAACTTCCAACTGCGGAGGCCTAAGCATTGGTTGAAACTTGGTTGAAATTTAAAAGTATTTGACAGTAAAAAAAGTACTGCCGAGACCAGGATTCGAACCTGGGTTATCGCGGCCACAACGCGAGGTACTAACCACTATACGATCACGGCTCGCACATTTTAATTTCGGTGGTTGGTTTTCAGTAATCCACAGCAGAGGAGGCGAAAATTCGCTCAACCATGAAAGCAGAAACAACAGGAGGACGAAGTCCAGCTGTTATTTTTTTTTTACACCCGAGAAGCTCTGCTCTGTTCCTTGCCTTGTTTTTGACTACCGACGTCATATTTATTTTACCGAAAAAGAAGGTTGTAAATAAGTTATGCTCGACATAAATACTCAAACTTTCTGCTCAGAGCCCAGAAGAAGTGCACAAAATCCTATAGCTCATATCAGCTAGTTTTAATGTAGAAAAATATATCCACAAAATCTAGAACTTTCCTGAGACTACTCATTTTGAATTTTGAAATATTTGCAAAGAATAAAAATTTCTCATGACAAGTTCGAATTTTTTTTCGCTAAACCTTTCCCAGTGAATACTGTAGTTGAAAATAGGTGATATGCAGATCGAGTTTCGTTTCATTGCAGTCGTCTAAATGAAATATACGTTCAAATAGGTAAAAAAAATATTCATCCAGATGGCATCCACATTGGAAATAGAGGAAATTCTTGCTGTACTTGAAATACTAAGCGTGATTTCAACCCATTTTTGTTTCCTAATTAATTTAGGCCCAGGGAACATTTGCGAAGAAATTAAAAATAAACTCAGGCACAATTCACGGCCATTTACGCTAGACGAAAACCTGGAGATTTCAAAAATTTGACACTAATTAATTGTCACTAATTAATCGTGAATTAGTCGTCACTTGACGACTAATTCCATCTTATTTGCACAAAGAGGCTTAAAAATGAGACTGGAGTGCGACGATGTCTCCCTCATCAGAATTTATAACTGAAGATTTGGATTTTGAAAAAAAAAATTGTGCAGTAAATTCACGTTACAACTAAGCCATTGAGACCAGTACAATTCCTTCACTGTAACGACAAATTCGTTATAAGGTAACTCATTCAACATTGTGGCTATCGGGAAAGAGCCTAAAATATGACCATTGTAATCAATCGTTCTTTCTAACGAGATTCTACGGTATATACCGTATACATGTACTGTATATACATTACATGTATGCGCGCAACCTTCACATGATGAAGTGAATAACTTCATCCATTGGAAATTTGGCGTGCATAAAACTATTCCCTGGCCATTCATATAACGAATTACTGCAGTGGAATCCGTGGAATGAAGGTAGGGAAAACTCACCATAGTCGGAAGCGTAGAATATTGGCCAATTCCTGACGGAGAACCGCCGCCACCTGCCTTCTGGAATCTCGCATAGACGTCGTGCGATGGCGGCAAGTACGTTTGTGACGTCGGCACTCTCGAAACAGTTCCGTAGTGGGACGCCTGGGGGGCTACAATGCCTCGGGACGGAAACTTGGGCAAAGTTCCGATCCCAGCAGACAAGGCCGACGGCGGCAATGGCGAAATCGACGACCATGAATTCCTCTTGGCATGAACGTAGCCGTTTCGTGACGTGCAGAACTCTTCGAGTCCCTTGGCCATCCGATAAATGAAGTTGAAATCCTCCTGCGAAAATGATCGATGATATGAAAATACTGTACTTGGTTTCACATGCATAAACATGTGCAAAAGCAACTGCTGTAATTTTACGTGGTGCCAAGTATGCCGGTAGATGTCACTGACTGACTGAACATTTAGCTAATGCCCCGCTGAGTCAGCGTTGCCAATGGTAGGTGCTCAAAAGAGTTGCTGTTTCTGTTGCTGTAGACAAGTTTTTCAAATCCGTATTGCATACTCAATAATATTGAACTGATTTTGCTTCTACTTTTACGATGAAGAATATATTCACGTTAATAAAAACCTTAAAATTCGCCAGGGCTCGGATAAAATTTAAGCTCTAAACCCTTTCAAGCCCAAGCCATTTTTCCTCATGATCGTCACGATTTCACACGAAGGATTTCATTAGAATTTTTTTTAATGAAATGGTGAATATTGGCTTCTGCAGGAATATATTTTTCAACGTTCATGGACGAATCCGTTAACTAAATTTTTGGGGGTTTCAGGACTCTTAATTTTCCCGCGAAAAATGCATGAAGCACATCGACGATATTGAATTTTCCAAGGCAGAGAAAAATTTTCTAGGAAACCCTGTATGATACAGAAGTCTGCCTGCTGACTCCTTATTGCTTTTTGTTCATCAAATGATGATACAATTCATGTTACTGTACTGTAGTTTGCTGCAGGCAAATTTGATTTTTCTTTTTATTTATTTATTCGAAAGAAAGCAGTTCTTTCCTCACCTGTCGTCTCCAGCAATGAGGTCGTGACTTTTGCACCAAAGCCGCTGCTTGGAACAAATTTCCTCGCTTTTCCTCGGCAAACTGCGCCAATGTTGTTGCCAGGGTGCAAAATGTGGCAGCTTCCACACCACCGAGTCTGAAAGGATGTTTAATCAAAAGCCAGCATATTAGCCCGAGGGACAATGCGGCAGCCCAAGCACTCAAAACTCCTCAACTTAGCACACCCTCGAGCAGATTCTTGTTTGCCATTTTACTCGCACGCTTATTCGGGGTAGGTCGAGAATTATTTATGAACCGACGCTTTCGCATAACGACTTTCCTTTTTTTGGGACGAGGAATGAAGCGGAACTGTTCCGAGAAGAGCTTTTTCCGAGAGCCTTCTGTAGAGCAACTTGAATTTTTTTTCAAGAAGGTGCTCGTTAGTTAAAGTCAGTCTAGGCCATCTATGGACTAAAGTCGTCATTCCATGTGACTTCCGAGTTCCGTCGGGAATTTTTCATGGTTCTATAATCAGATCGTTTTGAGAGTATACTGATAGGAATGGTTTCGACATTTTTTAAACCCGAAAAAAAAGCGTTATAATCAAGCAATCTTGAAAATTTCAATAAATCTTGCGAGAACTCAGAAATTTCTGCAATGAAGAGACACCCATTTTCTGTGAAAAAGCACTCGCAAAGTGAAAAAAATTGCAGCCTTTTCTACTTTTAAATTTTGCACACCCCAGCAGGACTTGCTCCAATAATTGGGTATACGGTACTGTTCTTGAATTGCAAACATATGCGTTCTTCAGCTTTGTGCAGAGTTAATTCATATTCAGAATTTACTTTTTATCGTAAATATTGAAAGTTTTAATTTTTCGAATCTGTTGAATTGTGCGTGCAAAAATTTTAAAAAATGTCCCTCACTATTTCTACCGTGTTGATCTGATCACCAAATTTTGCTCACAATCACTATTTTATTTTTTTTTTCCGGTTCAGGAAAAAACCGACAGTAAAAAATTTTCTTCTGCGTTCGGCAATCTTTATTTATGTGCAGTAGTTATCAATTGTCAAATATGTTTTGCTATCAATTCCCAGAACTTCAATTTTTTTGAAGTATGAACCAAAACTTTCGTTTTTTCTTGTTCAAATTTTTTAAACTGAAAAATCGCAGGCTTCTGTTTTTTTGACTGATTGAGACTTGTATTTCAAATTACCGCCCTTTCTGGTTTCTAAAATCCTGAAGATATTGAAGAAAATTACCCTCCAGAGTTTGCTTTTGTTTTCTTTACTTCAGCAATTGTCAGTTTAATGCGTAACTTCTATTTCGCGCTATTTCTAGTCCTCGGCGATTTTGAATAAATGCGTTCAAATTCGCCGAATATACTTCTTAAAATTAACTTGGAATAAACTTTTAATTCATGCGTTTGAATAAACTTCTCGACTTTGCACTCCGATATTTCCAGTAAGGATATCGAAATCTACGGCTAGGCTTTCCGGTGGTCGACTCTTTTCTTTCAAAAACCCGTCTTCCTTTTTTTTCGAGTTTCAGTAAAAACCTGCACACACACATACACCAAGTCTACACATTAACATAAGGTAGGAAATAAAACTAATGTCGACGACGAGGATGAGGATGAGAGAACCACGGGATTTCAGGGCATGTGATACCGTCATTTCTAAATTGAGTTATATTTTGCGTAGGTTCTATATAGTCATCGGCGATTTTGTAAAAAAAATGCGCGCGTTTAAATTCTTTCGAAATTCTAAATCCGAAGTTATAAAATCCCTGCTCCGATATTTTCAGGGATATCGAAATCTGAGGTCATGTCTCTCGGGTGGTGATGCTCATCTACCGTAATCTTTTTTGTTGTTGTTAGAGAACCAATCTTATTTTTTTATCCGAGTTTCCGTAAAATCATCACATATACCGTATATACACGGAGTTGATACACATGAAGGTAGAAAACAAAATTACTTGTCGACGACGAGGATGGGAGAACCACGGGATCTCAGGGCATGCGACACCGTCACTTCATTCACGAGTGCCACAGGGTGGGCCATGGCGTGCGGCCAGCCTGGAGCAAGCAGCAAAGTGACAGAGAACGGCTGATCCGGCTGAACTGCTCCCGAAGCGACAGCGTCACGTTCTGGTCGCATCTTGAGATGCAATTCCGGCAGCCCGCATAAACTATGCTCCTCTTCCAGAGTGATTTTCAGGCCCTCGATGTGCAAACTGTCTTGGGGGGCCTCGGGCCAAAAGCAGGGGTAAAACTGCGAGAGAGAAAATCATCATCAAAATGAAGTGATGTCACTCCTCTGAGAGTTTATCGCTGGAAATAGCAGCATAAATATTTTTCAAGAGTTCGATATTACAGTATCTCAATTATTGTAGAGCGTTACTCAAATTTGATATAACAAGGTACTCTCTCAAATCTTAGACTCTGAAGACCAGGAAAAAGTGTTAGCTTTGTATGATTCATCCTCAAAGGTTCTTTCACAATCATTTGAACAATTATTAATTATCTGGGTACAGCTTATATGATTTAATTGTGATTTAATCAACACTTTGTGATTTAATTTGTGTTCAGTAATTGCCTTGCATTGTGATTTTTGTTGTCCAAAAACGGACGACAGTAATTCATGCATTTGTATGTGCTGTAATGTATCAATGTGTGGGAGGATGGGACACAAGTTTTTTGACCTTGTGAACGTTGACAAGCGACAAATAAAGCTTTTCCCGTGTACTATATAAATCAATCAAGGGAATTCACACCCGAGATTGCCTTCCTTTGATTATCGGTTGAAAAGTGGAAACAAATAAATCAATATTGTACAGCACAGAACCAAACTGACATTGCATAAATACAAAGAACTACATTTTCATATTTTCGCCGTGGTTTTACGCTTCGCACTCGCCTTTTCAACTATTATTTTGACTCATGTGCAACCAATATTTCCTTTTTCCCTGAGCACACCAGGACACTCGGGTCTTTTGAAAACGTGTATTTATTAAGAAAGTTCAGATGAAGTGTAACAGAAAATTGATAAAGAAGGTAACCAAGAAGCGAGATCAAATTTTACCCTGGGGCTGATGATAATACAGGCTTGATTGCTCTACTGAATTAATTGCACTGGAGAATGATTAAAAAGCTGGAGAAATATGGAGTCAGAAATTTCCGATCTTCCGAAAAATGTTAAAAGTTTTCAGGAAGAATCCGCAGTCCTTTTTTTTTTTAGTCGAAGAGGATTCATTGACAAAAAAGAAATTCATTGTCTTTGTTTTGAGAAAAAATATTGTCTAGACTCTAGAGACTCTGAGTATGCCCGCAAATTTTGAAACACCATGATGCCAAACGTATTTCAATTACCTGATAATCCGGAGCAGAAAACAATACGATTGTCTGGCAGTTTTGTTCCCAAACGAGTCTCCAGAAATCTCCGATTGTTTTTTCCATCGGATGCTGCGTGATGATGAGCTCTCTCGAGCTATAAAAGCCTGTCAACCGCAATCAGCACACATCAATTAGACACATTCTCTCGAGGACAAATTTCATGTTTCGTATTTTAGAAATGCTTTCAAGCTCTCTCTTTTTTATTTTTACCTGACGTCCAACTGGCATTGACGAAGTCACATTGGTCCCTGTCGTGGGAGACGAGACGAGGAGTAAGAGGGACCCGACAATCATCCGTCGGCAGGAATTCTAGATCCCGGTTTTTGTGTCGGTTGCAGTCGGTCAACGCACTTGTCACGTCATTGCTCGGCTTTCCAGGTCCATTTAGAAACTGAAGAATCACCCACAAGCCCACAATCAACCATCACGTCAATTTTCACTGAAAAATTAATTCCTTCCCGACAAATTAATTGGACGTGAGTGGAACCCTGATCTCGTCCTTGAATTGCATTGTTCTTATGTGAGACACGCGGCACCATTGTGATTCATATTCGGAACATGTCGCCAAATGAAAGGATCACTTGGAACCTCAAGACTGATTTTCTAATCGTGATATTCTTGAAGTATCTAGCATAAGGTCAATTTTATAAACTATCGAAAACTTCCTATTTTTAGAAGTCAAACTCATCACTACATTGAGAGCGACCACTGAGTCAAGTTGAAAAAAATTCGAAAAGAGTTACCACATCCCTCTTTATCTCCTTTACGTTTCGATTATGCCTCTTCCCGCATTCCAGAAATTTGCAAATAACATACCTAAAATTCATTTCCTATAATAAGTTCGTTGGTTTCTCATCCATCTTTCTCAGCAATAGTTGAATTAAGTGCATTTCGAACTGGATTTCGATTGACGAGCAAACAACGGATCGGAACTATGATCATTTACTGTATTCATCGATGAGTCCCAAAGTAAAAAAAAAAAAAAAACAATTGTGAATTGGAAGAATTGGAAGCTGTACTGAAAACAGATTATAAAAATTACAGTACTTTTGAACATCATCTGAATTTATAGAACTGGTAAAAATTAAGACAGTCAGCGGGAGGAAATGATTTCTTTGAAGATTAGAGTTCTTCATGTCATTCCAATTTTAGTCAAAAGCTCAAAACATTCAAAATTGTTCAGCAGAAATTTCCTCGCATGAAGTTTATGTACTTGTATACATATTCTTTTACAAGTAAAAACCAATTGCAATTTCCCTGGAAACTCTGCATTAGAAACCTCTTCAACTCAAAGGCTTTTTCTCTCAAACCTCCATAAGTCGAATTTCCTGAGGCCTTTCGGCTATCATTTTCTTGCAACAGGATAAGCAGTAAAAATTAGTAAATTTATGTAGTTTGAAAGGAAGTGGAAGGATTAATTGGGTAAGTGAACCCCTGCCTCCAAGTTCAGCATCTTTCAACTCATTTAAGAAAAAAAATTAAGACCCAGAACATCCCCGCGTACAATTTCCTGCAATTATTTTATATTTCCCACAGCAAAAATACTCGTTTCCCTGACTCAAAATATCCCAAAGTGAAATTTCTTCGGTGGTCCCTTCAAATTCGATTTAGAGATGTTCGACTGCAAATGAGATTTTCTAAACAGAGAAAAATGCGGAAAAAATGTAGGGAACGCCTTCAGAGCTTTTCTGACTTGATGCCTATATTTTAGGGGGTAGATCCAACAGTTGAGACGAATTTGTTTTTATCGATCAGGTTACTTTTTATTGCTGTACCCTGTCCTGCTTTGTGAATGATGGTGGCGGGAAATAAACCACAGGCGCGTGTAATCCCACTTACCTTCCACTGCTTGAAGAGACTGTCTTTGTGGGTCAACAATTGCTTCAATCTCGGCTGCAAACAAGGCAGGGATATTTCCGTGTCCCCGATCTCACATGCGACGAGCAGCACTTCATGTACGCTCACGTACTGCTCCACCGTTTGCACGAGGAAGCTTCTCTGGTTCCGGATGTGGCGAAGGAATCCCGGCAAATCTAATCGACCTTCGGCTGCCAACTGCGACAACATCCCGGCCACTGCGATGTACGCTCCAGTTCTCCCGACACCAGCACTGTTGTTGTTTTTTTTCAGGTGAGAAAAGATCACAGCCATTTTATGAAAATTTGTTTTCTATTTTAACCACAGAACATTTTTCCGGGTACTTTAGTATGTAGGAAAAGGTACGCGCGGCGAATGAATTTCGTAGGCATATTTTTCCGGCCCGAGTGATGGGCCATCAGTGCGTCGGATTACAACGAAAATCGCTCAAACATGGTCTGAATGACGAATAGCAGAGCAGCGGGAATAACATGTCGCAGAAATATCATTTCCACATTTCAAAGCATGGAATAGCTCGATGGCATGGAGATTGGCACCGACGAGAAGCATTCTGTATATACGAGTAGTATTCATTTTACGAAATGAAAATTAAAAAGTGCCCCGAAGAAAAGAAATGTTTTTGTTCGTTCCACTAACGATTGATGGTGCGTTTTATTCATTCACGGAGATTTTCATCGGATCTCATTAGTACGACAATCCGACGCATTATATGAATGTCCAAGGTCATAGTGCAAAAAAGTTGCTATTTGAATTGCACTCAGAACTTCAGAAGTCACGCATGCCAAAAAAAATCCCTGCAGATGGCATAAAACGTCGTCGGATTCTGATGCTAAATTTTTTTTTGAATTCTCGGCAGATTTTTCAAAAACCTTATAAGCTGATTTCGCGAAGATTTAAATTTGAAGACACAGATTATTTTCATATTACTCTTTCCCGAATTTAAGGATTTAAAAAATCAGAACGAAACAGCTTTGGTTACAAATCCTCTCCACGTAATGCCTTCGAAAAACACCAACCTGATACGTTCACATTAATCCATTTTACCTTGAAATTGACAATAGAAAATGTATCCGATTTGACAAAAAACGAATCTCTACTGAATAGCGGATCTAGATGTGTAGAGAAAACGACAGCGAAAGCGACTTAGAACCTCATCTATACATAAATACAAAATTATTAAATACATTTGCGGGAAATTCTGAAAAATGCGCGTTATTCTCCTTCCTTGAAAAATTGGACATATGATCGAATTCCACATAAAAAATGAAACACAATTGGTACTGTGTTTTCGCGTGAGTAATTGACATTTATTCGCAACTTGAAAAATGTTAAGAGGAAGCCAGAAAAGAAAGAAATTCATCCGAGATGACTGGGAGGTGAAGTTGCCACTTGATGGTCCCTTAAATTCTGCAACGATCCAGAAGATAAGGGGGAAATCCTCTCTTTAATCTGCAGGAGATTCGCAGACGACACTTGCGACACGAGTTTCGATGTCGACTGCCTGTGCATCGTCCAAACCGTCGGATCGTCTCCCGTTGCCGACACTACCCGGTAGCCGAATTTTCGCTCCAGCACATTGATGACAAAGTTTGCAGGCTCAATGATTTTGATACTGCGGCAGAGCTTGAATGAAATGGCTTCTGTGCCCCCAGGCAGTCTGATGGCCGCTTTGTTGCAGTGTTTATCTTCGATATCCTTTTGTGAGCATTTAAATTCGACGAACAAGGATCGGGCTTCTTCTTTGGATAAGCTGGTCACGTAGCAATCGTAGGTGTCCACGCCGCCTCTCACAAAACAGTACGGCATCTTCCCGACAGATGCCACGTCTTTCCCCCGATGAAGGGCAAGGTAATATAAACGCGATTCTACGGGATTTCTGTGCTTTTTAAATCCAGAAAAAAACAAAGAAATTTCAAGTATATCACGAAACAGGGAAAAAACATTCGAATTTTCCTTTCTGTCGATAGCTTATTCCTTATTTGATAATAAATGTGTAAGTCGGCGAACATTCGAAAACACGAGGCGATGAACAAACGGAATCATATTTTTGAACGAGATCATATTTTTGACTGAATTCACAACGATTTTTCAGCGACAATAGGCACTTTATTGTCCCAATGGAAATAATGCTGAATATTTTCATTTAATGGAATAGAAGTCTCGAAATAATTTCTACTCGCTAAAAAAAAAAGCCGTTCGTCCTTCCGTGTATACGAGACGTGTATACGTCACAAATCCATATTCTTATTTCAATTTCTAAGTCACATTCGAGAAATCTAAAACACAGCGAACTGATTTAAATGCTTTTGAAGCTGACTGAAATTATTTTCTTCCACAATCCCATGAAAACGCATATTCGACCAGTCAGTCCACGAAATCTTGTGAACATTTTCATTTCCTACATTAATTTCTTGACAAGAGCGTTTAAAAATAACTATTCAATAACAAAACAAAGTGAAATTTTTGAACACGCATGAAACCTTAGACCGCTGACGGTATTTCAAGTAGGATAATTGAGGCCGTACATTAAATTAGTTTTCCGTAACCAGTGGTCCGCGGACCTGCGCAGGTCCGCACACAAATTTTGTTGGTCCGCGGGATTTTTTCTTCAGCACAATAAATTCATAAAAATTAGTTATGAAGTCGATTATCTTTATCTGAAAAATATGAGAGACAATGGCAGTTGATATTATCTGATGAAAAAAACAAGTTGGCTTTCCTCTTAATGACACTTGAGAAAAATTTTCACTTGCTGAATTAAAATAATTTTAATTTTTCATTCTGAGAAATCTTTCTCCAAGTCCACCTTTCTAATTTTTGAACACATTCAACTACAGCTGCTTCATTGGTACGTCTTGATTTGACTTTTTCAAAAAGCAGATGCTTTTTAAAGACCTGCCATGAAGTCTTTCGAACAAAACTTTTTTTTTGAGTCTGCAAACATTTCATGAAGCTTTACCGGTCCGCAGAAAATTTTTTTGGAGTTTGCCGGTCCGCAAAAAAATTTATAGCAATTTTCCGGTCCGCTGGCCCACAAAGGTTGGGGAACACTGCACTGAATCATTGGACAATAAAATACTTAACTGGTATAAAACTCAATTGAAAAACTACGTCTTCGATCACTCGTGAATAAGTTTAAAAGTGAGAGAGGAGAAAAAGGGGGCGCCGAAGAAAGTGAAGAAGTGTCGATCGTGCCAGGCACGGAATCGCACGCGCTGCCGACACCACTGAAAGATAAATTCTCCGTCGTGACACCGGAGACAGGCACATTCAATAAAAATCACGAGATTGCGTATTCAAGGGCCCCTGGATTTTATGCATACCGAATGCAAAATGTGTGCTTTCGTAGTCGGCGGCGTACGAAATTTCTCTTGCCCCGGGGGTTGGGAATCGCCTGACACTGCCAGGTATAAACTGAGTGTCAAGACCATCTCGAATACGATCTAGAAAGAGGTGTGACGCTTTCGTGACTCGAGAAGTCGAGAGTCGAATGCCGCGTGGGTAAATCAGAAAGTTGAGCAATACTGCAACGAGTTTGCCGAAATCAGAGGAACCTAGTCCAATGCCAAGCTAATATTAAGGAAACAGCTGCAAGAATCAGCCGAGAAGTGCACATTTTTACCACGCCCGAAGACCAGTTTGTCTTCAAGTCGATGTGAAGTCTAAAAATGTCGATCTGCCATCAGTACATGGGCAACTAAAAATAATAATGATACCTTCCCCGCATTAACATGATGCAGTTGTTGCCGTGAAAAAAATAAATTTTTAAATCGTAACTCGGAGTTACTGTCACATCAAATTTACACCTCACAAAGTTATTTCCTTTGCGATTTGATATTCGGAAAAGGTCAGAAGATAAAAAATAAAAATTTCCAGACGATTAACTTGAATGAGCAAACTCGAACCCTTCATGCATAAGTGAAAGATATTTTGATCGAAATATTTCAAAGAATCAAATAAGATTTATATGAGCAATCAGATAATATTGCATAAGTAAGCCAAGCAGACGATTCTCGCAAAATTTGACGCAGAAAACACAACCACGAAATGTAACCTATTGCAAACACCGAACAGATTCGTAAATTCTCTCTTGAGTGATTAAATATTTTTACAATTTTGATGGCATTTAAATTTACGGTTAGCTCATTTCTTCACTTGGGCGATTCATTCAAGACTTCTTCCACATGCTGTATTTCTTTTCGGCAGAAACGGGGAATCTCACACTCGAAAACACACTTCAGATGTCCATATTGGAACTCGAATGCGTTTGGAATTTGTATCAGGTGCAGAGAGCATGACAGAGGAAAATAAAGCTGAACGGAGAGGTGCATTTTTAAAATAGAAAAACCGTGGAGAGAGGAATAAAAAATTGCCAATTGCTTCTTCGAGGTCAGACAACGGCCTTACGAACTGTCAAAGCGAAAAATCGTAAAATCTCCAATCAAGAACAACAGTGAATGTTCAAAATTGAACTGAAGGTACGAAAGAAACTATTCCTGGGTAATCCAAAAAAGGAAAGGTTGTGAAACGACATGAGACATTTGGCCACGTCCAAAAGAGGTGCGTCTCAAATGGCGCGCCGAAAAGAAATAGCAGAGATACCGAACAGTACAGCACTTGAAAAAAAAATACACACAGGTTTTCAGTGTCAGAGAAGGATGGAGTTTTGCAGTGTTACTCGTAAAAGCGTTTCAAAATGGCTGCATTATGAATTTCAAAAAATTTATGACTTTTCTGGAAAAAATCATTGACAGATTCTCACTCAAAAACGATACTTGAGGGACCAAACAGTTATTCGCTTCGGTGAAAAAAATACACTGAGGCCCCGACATGAGGACGCCCCGAAATTTGGACGATTCGACTCGGGGGCATATCTGCCCCAACATCCGGACAATGGCTTCAGAAGTTCAGATAGACAAGACGCTTCGCCAACATTTTCCAGAACAATCCAAAAGTTCTATTTCTCAATTTTGATGCCTTTTTAATAAATTGAGCTAACGTATTTATATTTACAAAAGTTGAAAATTTGCTTCATTATGAAATTATCAAAATTCATAATCATACTCTGGCTGATTTTGGGCTTCTTTTTTTTATAGTTTTTGCTATATGTGCAGAGTATAGCAAGACTTATTCTTTTTATTTGCTTTTTGAGTTTCTTCTGATGCCAAAACATCAGATTATATGCGGCTTTCTTCTGCACAGTTGTTTTCTGAATCTTGAAGATTAGTGAAAAAATTTTCCTTCAATATTTCGAGGGAATTATTCATAATTTTTGACGAACACGAGAACCCAGTATGCATGTACTAGCATGCAAAATCGATTGACGAGATCAGCTTTCAGATCATTCTTCCTCCGTTCTGCTTACAGTGCTCATCGCGATGTTTCTCGCCAACTTGGAATGTTGGTTTTATTCTACTTATCATCACCTGACTATTCCAATACCTACTTTTTCAGACGTTGGATAGTCCAGGGTTCTAGGCATAATATGAATAACGAATTGCTACTAACCTGCAATGAACCAGAATAGGACCGGCGTTTGGTGGATTGGCAGCAAGCGACTCTTGGACAAATTGCAATAATGCAGCTGAAAGTGGCGGAGTTCCATGGTCAGGCCAGGCAGTAAAATGCCACTGTTTCACTTCTATTTCGGCATTTGGTTGCGGAGGGTGCGAACCAGGCTCGGCAAAAGAGACATTCTGCAAAAGTGAAATAAAAATTACGATGAAAGCACTGAAAAAAGGGAAACACTGTAAAATACTGTAACTCCTGTTGAAAGCTTTCCGAAAGCGATAGTCGGCATTGAGTCATGAACAGAAAAACGGGAGTGCCTACTTCAGTTGAAATAAAATCTCAAACGAGGCATTAAAAATTGCAATTCATTGATTCACTGCTGAGGTTAGGGCTGGGAACCAGAATGTAAAATGTGTATCGATATTCTGTCTCTCTTACATATACCCGAACAATTCAATTCCGTGATTCAATGCAAGGTTGGTAGGAAAAAATTCATTTTTTCGCTTACGCAAAAAAAATCGGATGGAAAATTTAATATTTCAAAACATCACAAATTTATACCGGTCAACTCTATCTACAACGATTTTCTCCGCATAGCGATTTTTCGTTTAATAGGGCTCTCTGCTCATTCGCAGGTTCTCCCAAAAGAATTTTCTGTAAAACTAATATTTTTACGGTCCACTTAACTTCGTTGCTGAGAAAGTCCACTTGTACTCATATTTATCGCGTTTGCGAAACATAAAAGAGGTATACTGTACTGTACTATGCATAACTTTAAAGAAGACATCACAATTTATTTGAAATAAATTGATTGAGCTCGATGCGGAAAACGATTCGTAGATGACGCGTGTGTAATCTCAGAACCACTGCTAACATAAGGTCTAATTTTTTTCGAGACTTTCGGCACACGAGATGACGAGAACCAGTCTGGCGAACTAAGTTTGGCACTTCGGCGTAATAAATCTCACCTTTGTTTTCCTGATGAGAAACGTTCGCAAAGTGTGTGACGCCCTTTCACAGCTTTCACCTGCACACATCCGTATGTCATGACACCGTCATCAGGCCAGTACTGGTCGCATTTTGTCTGAAAAATTAGAATTCAAGTTATTTTCCTCCTTTCTGCTCGTCGGATAAACGAGAGGAACAGAGCCGCGGCATTCTTGCCACAAAAAAAAAAATCGAAAATTGGACCATTTCAAAGTGTCAGAGGCAAATTCTAGAGCTTCAAGATGCATGCAATTTTTACAGTGTGGAGGGTAGAAAATTCAGTACACTCGTTCAAAAACATCGATCCATCCTGAATTATTTCGAAATACTGTACTTTACATTGACGAAAAGAACATTATTTTGAGGCTGTGAGTAGGCATTTGTACGATGGGCGTTCGAAGTTTATGCGTAAAACTTTCCGGTACATTTCCAAAAGCTATGAAACCGAAATATCGACGCTTTTCAGAAAGATCTACGATAGATGTACCGTAAATTCAACGATTTTCTCAATATCTTCCATAAGATTGCGCACGTATAGAATATTGCTAATATCCTCTCCTGTCCCAGTTCTGCCTATCTCATATATGGGATAACCCTAAACCCATTTCTTCAGATTGAATGATTTTTGGATTACCTGACTATAATCAGTAAAAATCAACCCCAGGAGAAAACATTGAGATATTGCTGTAAAATATTCCATTTCTGGTCTATCCCATATTTTAGGAAGTTTTTACTCAAGGAATGAAAAAAGCAATCATATGCATGAAAAGTGAGTCGTATGAATGACTGACTGTGTGTGTTGAATGCGAAACTGCAAAAAGATTAGGGTGTGAAAAGGAATCAATTCTCAGTTCCTTTCACAAAATAATGTATTCGTACTCGGCTAGAGACACCAAAAAAAATTCCGCTTGAAGGACATGCAGAGCTTTCGGAAAACGCATTTTCAATTTTTATTTTCTAGTGGAGACATTATGGTACAAAAAATATGACTTTTTTCCTCAAATTAGAAAAAGAATTTTTCTGATCGGGGTTTTTTCCACGGAATACGAGAACATTACCCAGCAAAATAACAGTTTCCGACCGGAAGGCAGGAAAACAAATTTTCACCTCACCAAGTGACATATTTTCCGAGAAAAAAACGAAAGGACGCTGAAACCGGTTTTTTTTATTGAAGGAATTTTTGTTTTTGTCATGAGTAACATTTTTGCCAGTATACTGTACCGAAAGCAGTAAATATTCACTCGGAATTGCTTTTCGAAGGCAAAAATTGTGAACAAAATTCATGATGCGTTCGGATAGAAGAAAGAGAAACGATGGAAAACCCACGCAGAACGTCAATTCGTTGAGACGTCACTTTAAAATTCATGACGATGAGATTTGTTTAGGATTTTTTGAACGGTTTTTCTTGTCGGACTGTTGAGGATTTTCGCCAACCGAAAAAAAAATTGCTGAATGCCCTCCTTTCTATTTTAGCCCCAACAAATAATACTGCTGTTGGCTTTGGGCAGAAGCATGGATTCTCTTAAAAATTTGTTGAATTGTTGATTCGATCTTTTTATTGGCACTTACAGAAAAATCAAACCATTCATGAATTTTCATGCAGGAATTTCCAGCAAGTTCCGAGCTGATTATTTCATTCCGCATGCAATCTGAACACATCTTCGCTGCGTCCGTAAAAGGCTGTTTTGAGGAATTAAGAATATGAATCCAACCAAACCCTTAAAAAATCCATATAAGCCACAAAACTAGAATTTCTCTAACCTGACTACAATTCCATGATTTAAAGAAAAATGAGTAGAGGAATGGATTAAATAAGGTGCTACCTTAATTACATATTCCAATCCACAAACTGGCTGACATTGTCCAGTGTGATCAATAATACTAATTTTCTGCTGCCCTGCAATCCTTTCTCTTGTTTGAAATCCGTTTTTTTTTTTTTTTTACGGATTTGTCCCCCGACAGGAATTAACCTTCAGATGGTGACACCCTCCTTTCCATCTCACAGCAAAGTTGGGATTTTTCCACCCACACAAACATTTCTGTTTGACAAAAGGTCACTGAAATGCACCTGGGTTGAGAAGGCCTAAGTTGGGAAAAATCTTGTAAGGGTGAAATCCTTTTGTTTTCAGAAATCTCCAATGCTAGTAATGCAGAAAGAAACACCACTGAGCACGGCATTTTTTTCCTTTTCCAGCAAACATTTTCTACCAGCAAAGAGAAAAACTATTTGTCTTTTCTCCGACGTAGGCTTTGGTTCTCAGATGTTTTTATTTTATTTTCATTACTCTCAGGCGTAAAATTCTGCGAATATATTCCAACTATGCTGCGTAAGCTTTAATTTTTAGCGCACATTTTAATCATATTTTTTGGCAAGGTATGAATACATGACGAACCTGGGAATAATATTTGATTTATATGTTGGCACGGCTGAAAAAAAAAAGATGATGTATTTTACCTTGCCATGCTCGACGAGGTTCGTGATCATGACGATCGTGCGAACATTGTGTTCCAAGACCATTTGCCAAAATATCGGAAGCGTGTTCTGCAATGGGCCCTGAGTAGCGATGAATGCGTTGGGCTTCTTCCATCCGTCGACCAAATTCGCATTGATGTACTCCCCACCGATGCTTTTGTTGCCGGTTGTCGTGTTCAGCACCTTTGCCGATTGCATCAACGGAACCAGCGAATGGTCGTCTATTCAAAAATCCGATGAAAATTTAATGAAACATTGCACAAATATCCACACAAGGGTAATATATAGATGCGTGATTTTGACTCATGAAACCCGTTCGCCATTGTCGGTGAGAGGGGGTCACGTTAATCATGAAAACGAGCATGTTCTTGCATACATTTTTCAGTTCGGAGCAGTCAAAAGAGATGGCGATAAATAAAAAGGCCTGCAGAGAAGCAGCAACACGAAGATATTGAAATATGCAAACAACATTACTTAGGCATTAGAGGGAAATGTCCTGACGATTCAGCTCTTCTCCGAGTCACGAAAGCGTGACCTTATGAATTATTTAGGAAAATTTCTTGTCCAAGAACACATTTGACAACGACGACAAATTTGGTTTCCAGTCAAGAAAAAAACTGGGCTTCTCGACAAGAAAGGTCGCTTTTTGCTCATGAAGGCATGTCGCAGCTACATTAGCATAAACAAATTTTCATGACATTCTTCACTGACATGTTAGCTCGAAAGAACAGCTTTCATATATCACTAGAAACTACAATGAGAATGAGAAATAGCAAGTCTTACGAACGTTTTTATTCCGCTCATAGTGAAAAATGTAATTTCCTTGAAGTGGTTTCAACGCTCCTCGAAAACGAAACTCAAGTTTACAGCTCTTTCTACCGATTATAAAACTAACACACGATGAAGATTCAGTTTTACTCTGGCCCTTTAAAGGTCGAACAATTACCAATTACACTTTCCAAGTCAAAATCTCTAAAAACGAGCGGAATGATTCAATTTCCCCTGCACGAAAGGGAGGATAAAGAGCGGGAAAACGAAGTTTGAAGACCTTGCTTTCGCGCCACGTTGAACCGCACTTCAATTAGTTTCTCTACCTAACTGTCGAGAACTTCTCATCTAAGAGTGTGAGCTAAGGTGCGAGAAGTTCATCTAGTTTCGAAACTCTTGATTAGCATTGATATGCAAATTTTTGCGCGGAAGTGGACCCTGGGTACTCTCCAAAGTGCCTCGATGAACTCACGGGACGAACTTTTACCACGGGTGGGAAATTCTTAGTCAAATGCGAAAGGACTACTGATTTCACTCGAAAACGAATGAACAGGGACCCTCCAATTAGATGTCCTCGAACTTCATCTCATCTGATACGTTCCAAATTATGCCACCAGTTCCACGATCTGAATATTTTTTTCCATTGGAGCAAAAAATAAAGACTATATCGGATGAGGCAGACAAAAATTACTGAACAGTTAATGATTTTTCAACAGTTGTCCCACACTAGGAAGCTTTTAGCTATCACATTGAAAAATACGGCGAATCAATGCTAAATCAACGTTCTTCGAATAATTTTAAATTTCGTGATTCAATTGAATTGATACAACTTCCACACACATGTAAAAATAAAATACAGAACCAGAATTTTCGGGTGGAATACTCTCTAACGAATAATCATGGGTTCACGTTATTGTCATACTTGAAGGGCCTTGAAATAAATTAGAATTTCAGAATCAGAAAATTCAAATTTTTTTTTTTATAAATTCGAGTATATTTTAGGGAGGTCTGAGAATTTTCCGGAGAAAAAAATTCAACACTTCTTTCGCTGAAATTTAGCGAGACTTTTTCGAATGCCTGTGATTTTATTGTTCGACTCGTCCCGAAAAAATTGAATGGGTCGCATACAGATGAAATATTTTTACAACGATCTTGTCTATATACAGTATGACGATTTCTCTGTATAACTTTTTTGTGTACTGTTGTGCCATTGCAGAGAAGCCCATGTTGTAGGGGTTCTCTGCAACGAAATTCTCTCTTCAACGATCTTTTTCTGGTCCCTTGAATTTCGTTTTAGAGAAAGTTTATCTGTACAATATATTTTTCTTCTCTCAGTTCTGAGCTCTAACAGGGTACATTCAACGACACGTCATTGAATACATGTATTCTTAAAAACGGTATATCTAGTCTTGGAATGTCCGAGAGAGACTGTTCCCAGAAAATGCTTTAAAAATGAAATAAACAAAAAATAAAAATACTTACAAGCAACGACGTTCTGGTAGCGGTTTTTGTCTTTGTTGTCGGGCAATTTCGCCATTTCCGCGGAATGTTCGAGTTCAGCCGAAAACGATTGTAAATCTTGGAATTCGCGGTAAAATCCTTCGTCGCCATTTGCATGCAAGGCTGCCACGTGTTCCGCGAATTTATCAGCTGCGATCGCGTTGGAAAGCACTGGTCCCAACGTGCCCAGCTGATGCTCGTTGCCAGTGTTCTTGTGTCGTTCCGTCATTGACAAATCGTTGTTGGGCGTGTGGTTGTTTCCTGTGAGACCTGATCCGTCATTGGATTTGCTGTTCGACACGATCTCCATCGGCACCCGGCCATTTTTAGCCTCGGATCTCGTCGTGTGTGACTTCACTGTTCGTCTGGAAGAGAGAGAAAAATAAAGAAATCATAATTTTTTTTTACGTAAACGTAGGATAAGTTTCTTCTGCTGAAAATTTGAAAAATTCCCGACGATGTCTCAGAAATTCAGAAGCTAAGAATCACGATAAACTTTTTAAAACTGTGTTTCGACGTCCAAAAAATAAAAATAAACGCGGATTCGTAGGAATGAGAAAATCGAAGAAAAAAATGCTTGAAATCCTAAATTTCTTTCAGGTAAAAGTAGAAACGATCAATTTCTTCTGATAAAAATTGAAAAAAAACTTCCAAGAATGTCTCAGAAGTCCAGAAGCTACGAATCACAAGAAACTTAAGAAAACTGGGTTTCGACGTCCGAAAAAAACGCGGATCCGTATAAAGAGACGTAAACGTAGAAATGATCCATTCCTTCAACTCAAAATCACAAAAATCCCCGAGGACGTCTCAGAATACCCGATGCTGCAAATCATAAGAAGCTACAGAAAACTGAGTTTCAAAATCCATAAAAAAAGAAAGGAACGTATATGCGCAGGAATGAGACAATCGACGTCTTCCAAATTCTCAAAATAATTCCTTTTTTGATTCTGATAATGAATATGATTGTTACGCCTTGGTACCTTTTCGAATGAAATTAAGGTAATACGGAGATGGAATCAAAAAGCAAAGTTCTATGGAATAGTTGAGTAGGTACTTTCGTTTGAAGTTCAGGTGAAGCAAAGCAGAGGAATGCTGCGTGATGCTGAGAAATTTATTTTGAAGCGAGGCGTTGATTTCATTTGCATGAGAGCAGGCCTGAATATTCGAGGGAAATACAAAAAATATACTCTTCAAAATCATGATGTTTCCTGGAGCATTGAAGGTGTTTTTCTCTATAATTTGCTCAGCAATGCCAAATATTACTGACTCTTTTCTCGATAAATTCAATTCACCAAGTAAGGAATAAATTCTACTTCAACTTCTGCAAAATAATACGTGCGTGAACCGTCTTTCGCATCGTCTATGTTGATAAGCGTTGAATTACGTTTGAACAACTTAACGCAAAAGAGCATTTTCCAGCTAATTTTTTATAAATACATCATTGAACACATACCGTATTTATTCAAGTACTTGACACACTTTTTCCCAAAAAATCGGGACCAAAAAGTGGGATGCGCATACTACTCACGCACAAACGTTCCCTGCAAATTTTCAAAAAATTCGTGTTTGCTTCCTTTGAAGCAAGTGCAATTTAATGATCCCTTTATTGGAGTACGAATATAAATGAGTGCAATTTAATGATCCTTTTATTGGAGTACGAATATAAATGAATGAATTCGGCTGTTGTGATTCCTAAATTTCACAAATTCAACTGAAAAGTGGGGAACATGTCTTCTGCGGGGATACGTTTTTACATACATATAAAACTAAAAAATTGTGCGCATCTTATGCAAGGGCGCATGGCACGAAATAAAATACAGTACCGTATTCATCATAAACTTCATTCGAACTAATCAGTGGCATAAAAAAAGAAACCTCGAATTGATAAGCTATTTACATGCCTTCGTATAACTACCCAGTTTACTCGAGTACCACACGCACATTTTTTTCTAAATTTGAGAGAAAAAAGGGGATGCGCTTCAAAAGCTGGTATAAATTCTTTTAAAAGTTATAGAATAGTTTAGGTGTTTATTATATATTTGATGATAATCGGAAATTGTGGACCAATTTTAACAGAAAAACGTATTGTAATGGAAAAAATTGAAATTTAGTTGAATTCAGGATCAATTCATGCCCATATTTAACATTGGGTGTTCGTATTTTTAAATTACAGCAGTTTTAGAGTCAATAAAAATGGGATGCGCGTCTTACTCGAGGATACCGTTTTATAAAAAAAGTTTGGGCTAGGAAACCCTGGTGTGCGTTTTACTCGAGTAAATACGGGTAATTTTAGTTTATTTTTGGGGATCCACTATACTGCTGTACCTATCTCCCACTTTAAATAGTTCAAAGTTATTCAGCTAATGGAACTCATCAGAGGTCTCATCCACTCTGCAAGGGACTTCCGACAGGCACTTGAAACCAAAAAAATAAAAAAAAATATATATATATATACATGTATATATATCGGGTAAAAGAGAAGCGCCCATTCCGGAGCGTTGAAGAAGCAAATAAGGGGTGAGCAAACCTCCAGAGGAAGAAAGCCAGCGTGACCAGAAGAAGGGCGGCGAGGCTGGACCCGATCCCCGCCAGCAGGGTGGGTTCCAGTTCCAAGAACCTCTTGAGCACGCGTTCCACGTCAAAGGCGCCGGAGCGGCTGTCGTGCAAGGACGGAAGCTGGGTCGCCATCAGGTCCCAGGCGGATTTGCAGTCCTCAGTGACGAGGGTGTAGCCGGTTTTGGACCAGTTCCCAAAGTGGAACTTCTCACGGTTGAACAGGCTGATTGCAGCGCCTCGCACCCGCACTTCGTACACGACATCGTCTGTCAAGTTCGTCAGCAGCATCTAAATTTTTTTTAAATAAAAAATAATATAAAACATAATTTACAAAAGAAAAATTCATACATAGTGCATTGCTATCCTGGATTACTATGTTATTCGGTTTTCAAAGTAGGGGATACCCTTGCTTGTTGCAAAAACGGCGCGAAAAGCTTAGGGCGTCACAAATTCGACATCGTTTTTTTTATTCGAGCATGAAGTGTATGGATCGCCTCTGACGAACAAATCTTTCGTTTATAAAAGAAGTGCAAAGTTCAACCAATAATGTTATAAATTTCAGATGCAAGACGTGAGAATCGCAATCATGATTCTCAATTCTCAAGAGTACTTGAAGAGATTGCGTGGGCAATCTCTCGTATCAACAGACTTCGCTGATTCCGCAAAAAAGAATGTCAGGGAAATGCATCTTACATTCACACGTTAATTGAAATTTCTTTCGAGGAACTGTAAATTAAAATGTGTCTCATAATCAACGACGTCTTATACTCGAGCAAGTACAGTAATGTACAGTATATGCTTCGCAAACATTTTCTGTCAGCAAAGGCTTCTGATGCCAACAATTGTCTGGAGAATTTAAAACTGTGTGATGCACGCTATAAAAGTTACTCACATGTTTTTTTTAATGGCAAATAATTCTAAAGTGGGCAATCACCCATTCTCTGTACGGTATTTCATGTTCACATTACGCGTAAGTTTAATTCCACCATGTTATTTGACCTCTATCGGAAAAATACAGAAATTTGTACATGTAAACGTATGGGATTGATTTCAAGAGGAGAATGTAAAGTGGTATTTCAATTCACACATCCACTGCTAATTTTTTTTATTCCTGCAAAATGTTCACTCAATAGATTCGGGCCACTTGCAGAATTTTCAACATCGCAGTGAATCCTTGAGCACTCAAAATAATTTGACTTCAAATGCCATGGAGGCGACGGTCATGAACTCATTCATATGGAAACCGCCTTCCAGCGAATCGTTTGAAGTCATTCATATAATTCCGGAATTCATTGAATCCATGATAAAGAGGCTTAAGATCGATGGGACATTAATTATGCATCCGAGGCGAGGGAAGAACCAGTGGAATTCGGGATCACATTCAACTATAATTCACTGTACAATACTGTAGTACTCACAGACTGGACCATCTTGTCCGGGTTCGTGTCCACAGGGACTTCCTCCGCAAACTCCCAGCTGACCTCTTTGTCTCTATAATAAATGTAGTAGAAGTCCAGTCCTCCGAAAATCACGGCTGGGCGCTGCCAATACATCATGAGACTCCTGCAAAAAAAAAGAGCGCAATGAGAAAACCAGCGATGAGTGCAACAAAAAAAAACCCCCCGCCGTCTGCGAAACAAAAGCCGGGGCTCGAAACGAAAGCGAAAGGGGTTGACTTCAGATGGGCATTAGTGATTGAGTTGTCACTCAAAAAGTGCAATCGGCTGCAATCTCTCTGACAATAGGGCCATTGGGTTGGTCTCTTGAGAACACAAAGACTCAATCTTCGTTGGAAATGACTATAGAGAAAATAAAGGGTTAGCGCGAAATCTTGTTAACCCGAGGGAACAACGTCGTCAGGTACATGAGTTGTCTGGTTTCCACGCGGAGTCAAGTATTCAGTAGAAAAGTCAGGCATTTCACGGTCTTTCACAGATGATCAGACAAATCACCATAATAATGTCGCTACATCACCCTCCAGATTACAAAAATATTCATTACTTTTGATACCAAGAACTTTGAAAACAAAAATAAAATGAGTTTTCAACGCTTAAAATCATGATGTATGCTTGCTCCATCCATGTCTAACTTCATAAAAATCATTTTTTAATGTTTTCTGGCGATGTTGAAGTACAGTACTATGAGTTCCTGGCATTCACCCAAATATTTTGCAATGATGCCCTAGTGTGCCAAAATCGATGTTCAGTAATGTACTTTGTTAAAAATAATTTTGAAAATCTGTGGATATTTTTACATGCTGCGCGGAAACCGGTCAGTTCTCCCATAAAAGATTTTTCTCAACCAAAGAAAGAGTTATTAAAAAAGCATACGTTATCATCCTAGATCTTATTTTTCGACATAAAATACTTGGGCTCTATATTATACATCCAAAGGAAACAAATCAATGGAAGTTCCATACTGACGGAATGCGTATTTTTTTTCCATTTTCCTCGATGGAAATTTGAAACATCTTCATTCAAAAAAGAGCATTAACTTTCGCTCATTTTCTGACACATGTTGAACCTTCACGATATTCTCCTGAAAACTGATACCCCTTAAGTGGAAGCTGAAGGTCTTGAAATCACTCAATTTTGAGTAATCTTCATTCCAAACGATGAATCTGAAAGAGAACCATCCTGGAAAATCGCAAAATTATTATACCTTCGCATGCAGTATTTTGCGTTAGTCTAGGACAAAGGTGAGAAGTTTTCCAACAAAGCGTGGAATGAAGGTGGAAGGTTTATCTCTGAATCTGACGTGACTTATTTTCCTTCAACATAGCAGCTTTCATTTGGCTTGCAATTTCGCTTCGGATGAAGATTCGCGTAAAACCTGAATGAATTCCTGACTTTCTTCATTCAAGATTTGTAAGTTTCGTGGCACATGCAGCTGCTGACCTTCCAGACCCGAAAAGGTCATCGGAACTTGCTTCCACATCAAATTTTCAAGTGGTTTTTCCGGAATCGTGTTATTCGAAAGGTCTGGGCACACAAAGACTCGACAAGCAGCGACTTGGCAACTATATAAGACAGGCGCACTGCAGGAAACTATAGAACAAGTCGCTCTCAAGGGGGACGGAAATGAGCTACGTGATGTAAGTAACCTTCAGGTCATTGAAACTTGAAGGCTTCAGGGCCAGGGCTGCGCAAAGTTGTGTATAAATCTTTTCGAGAGGAAACTGCGTAGAGGACCAGCACCTAGGCAGTTTCCAGACGTGTGCACCTCGAAAGCAGATGTGGCGGAAAGGGTCATGAAAGCTTCATCCATTATTCCGAGGCGCTCCGGAATTTTCTGTCCGAATGCGGCATAATGCCACGGAAAGCTGAAGGGAAGTGTCCGTTGGGGATCCTTTTGTACACAGACGTTCAATAAAAATTTCGTCTCAAGCTTTTTTTCTTACATTTTCATTGCAAAGTCCGAATTGAGTTTAGCATTCACAACAGCTCCCACGACAGCTTTGCACACCAGGAAAAATCTCAAAGCGTCTTGACAAATCCACTCGTCGAAAAACTAAAAGTGTTACGCTTGAATTTAACTTTAACCCACATTTACAATTTTAGGCTTTGAAATAAATTAACTGAAAACGGGAATTATCACAGTACTGTATAAGCTTTTTCTACAGTACAGTACATCCAGAATAAAAAAAAATGTGCAGTCTGAACCGTGATTGTGCATTGAGAGCTTCTATTTTCCGCATTCGGTATTTGAACAACAATTGTTGGAAAACGCTGAATTTCGCTATGAACTCATATATTTCTTCGAACCTATAAAAGCCATTCCCGCTATAGATTCTGTGCGAAAAAAGCCATGTACTGGAGGTACAGTATTACTAACATGACTCTTTTTTCCTACAGATAATGACAAAAATATGCGCTACATTTGAATTTGACTTTAACCCGTTTTATTTTATTTCAGACTCTAAGAAAAAATCAACTGAAAACGGGAATTACAGTTTTAAACGTTTTCCAACGTTCATAAAAATTTGCGACTTGCTATGATTGTGCATCAGAGAGCTTCTATTTTCCGTGTTCGGTATTTGAACAGGATCTAACCCATTTTTGGAGAACACTGCGTTTCCTCATGCACTTACACATTTAATCGAATCTTTGAAAACCATTCCCAGAATAGGTTCTGTGCGTAAAAAGTCATGGTCTGCAGGTAAACTAACACGCCTATATTTTTTTTTCTCTTTCAGATGATAAGACCGCCGGATTTATGCACCGGCGACATCTACGCGATGAATAATATCTACCTCCCAACTCATGCGTAAAAAGTGTTCTCCCTTTTCTGATTTACTTTAGATTCGAATATTTCCTAATTCAAGTAAGAAGGAAGAGGAATTACTCCGGAAAGTATCCAAATAAAATGCATCCAAGTATCCAACAGAACATGAAAGAACACCTGAACAGTCCAATGCTGCCGCCTACAGTACTTCGTTTTATCCCCCACAGATGTCACTGAGACGTGGTCCATCAACGCAAGTATCGCCACAGATCGTATAAAAATATCAGCGAAATTGAATTATGTTCAAATTGAAATGTTCGGCATTTTATAATCATTGAAAATTAAGGCTACACAGTCGAACCTCTTTGAATCGAATTTCAAGGGTCCAACGAAAAAAGAAATCGAATGAGGGAGATTTCGAGTTATATAAAGGTTTGAGTTAAAGAACCAAGATTTTTTTGTGGGAAAGATGAAAGAATTTCACAAAAATGTATTTTGTGACATTTTAGGCCTTAAATTGTTTCTTGAATGAGTTTACAGGAGGCTGAACTTGGAAGCAGGGGTTCATTTGCCCAATGAGTCTTCCACTTCCTTTCAAAGCATTACTTTTTAAAATTAATTTCTGTTCCCTGTGCCAAGAAAATGACAACAAAAGGCCTCAGAAAATTTGAGTTACGAAGGTTTGAAAGGAAAAACCTTCGAGTTAAAGAGGTCTTTTCTCAGGGAATTTCGACAGGGACTTGAAAAATATTCGACCTGGGGAGGTTCGAGTAATCGAGGTTCAACTGTAGTATATTCAAAAGAAATGTGCAATCATTCCAGAATCCCGAATGCAAATTTTGATTCACCTCTCTTTTGAGAGAGGAAAAAAAACAAGTGATTCCCTACAGTCCAATCAAGGCAATGAGAGAAGGAAGCATCAGGGATCGTATTAAAGATTTCCCACGAGTGTTCGTCTCCGCTCGCCTCCCCTGTATTTTATGTGAGTTTATGAGGAAAAATTATCGCAGTTAGAAGCTTCAGCCGAGTATAACTAATATACGGTTGACGAATCGCATCCACGAAATGAAGCAAAATGAGATAATTTTCCCTGAGCACACCCTGGAGCACAGCGCATCAAACGCGCGATGGGTCAGCTTGAATATTCGCCGTCGTCTCCCTTCACGTCTCTTTCACAATACTGTAGTGTATGTACGAGCCTTTCTCTACCCGACACAATGGGATTCGATTAACCAAAGATGACATTTTCCGGGCTCCATTGAAGAAAAGTAGCACTTCAGTGAGATGAAGGCAACGAGCTTTAATGCAGTACAATACTCGGTTAAGAATATATACCTCTGCGAAATCATCGCTATTTCGTTGAAGGTATTCAGGTGATCAAATTTTCAACTATGTGTCAACTTTTTCGAAGTATCTCGGTTCCAACTTTACTGTTGTTCGTAATTCCGCAAGCACCGTACCGTTTAGAACACGTTTTTTGTATTAAGAATTCGGGCTATTTTTTATTCAAGTTATCAGCCGGGTGAAGAAAAGGTTATTGTCATCCAACAGGAAAGAAACATAATTTTCTCTCATAAACCAGGCTCATATAATGAGCAAGCAAAAACCTGCTAACTTTTCTTCGCGCAGTTTCGCGAGAAATCGGGTTTTTGAATTGCGCCATTATTTTTATTTAATATTTTCATCCAATATTCTTTACAGCGTAAAAATTCATTGAATCTTGTAGTTTGAAAGCTGGACTATTCAGTCATCAAGTATTTTTTCTACGACCTTTGTTCTCATACGGTAAATGAATGGTTATTCGAATACATCGAATAAGGACGATGTTAAAAATATCAAAGGTTCCTTCTCTGGGACACTCAATTAAATTCTGTTCATCATGAGACAAAAATTTCAGAAAGATCCTCAACTCAAAAAAATATCTTGTTCTTGTTTTTGAATTTGGGTTATTAGAAATTGTGCCTTCCTTTCCTTATTTCATGGTAGAAAAATCGAGAGGGCGAAAAAATTCACCGGATTATTCTGCCCTTCATCCGTCATAAATTGTAAAAATATCCTCAACTATAAAAATATCTTACTCGTATTTTTTGGATTACTTGATGACAAAAGTGGGATTTATTCTTCTTATTGCATGATAGTTAAAATAATAATACAAAAACTTGCACTTTATACAAATGTGGACGGTAGGAAATGTCGTGCGGAATGCACTAATTCATCTCAACGGTTTGATTTACTTTTCATCAGCATAAAAAAAAAAACAGGGAACAATTGGATTGCACGCGGAATCAAGTGCCCTTTCGTCTTTGTGCACATGCAAAAATTGACTTTATGCAAAATTCGAATCTACCGATAGAGCATTATTGTAGCATACCTCGGAGGCTGACAAGTGACGTTCAGGATCTTTGGTGGCCCCGGGCCACCGACGTCGGTGGTGAAGTGCACGTGCTCCGACGGCTCTCCTTCATGTTTCCAAGTGAATGCTTTCACCCACACGTCATACTCGGTAAACGGACCTTTAAAAAAAACGCACGCCTTTTAATAAACAGACAGAAACATACCCAACATGACTTAAAAACTCTCCGTCATAGAAATTTCAAAGTTTTTCTTCTTGGAGAAAATCTATAGAGAAAGAAACGACGGAGCGCTGTTGAAAGTCATCAAGACGGTGATATTTATCGCCGTTCGAGCATGAAATATAAACTCCGATAGTTGATTAATTTTGAAAAAATACGAATTGAGAATACTGCACATTCATTTTGAAAAATGCTATGAATTTTAATTCTTGAAATCAAAAAATAAAATTTTCAGTACTGCTACCTCATCGTGAGGTTGAAAACGACTAAATCGGAGTATTGTACAAAAAATCAAACGCACACCGAGTCGACGAAATTAATCAGTTGCTTTCGGGTCACATCAACAAACCTACCAGAGTCTTGGAATGGGGAAAAGTACGGATAATATTCCTATCAAGGACTATTCATTGGACTTCCTTCTGAGAATCATGTTAGAAATGGCAATTGGTTACCTTTGGGAGTCGGACTTCTTCGAGAAACTAACGTGCATTTGTAACACGGAAGTTTGCCTGATAGACACAGAATCATGACGAGGGTATATATCTGAAGAACATTACGAATTTTGCACCATTGAGACTAAAAAGCAAGGCCATGATCCGAGACGACTTCATGAAAAATTCAGCTTTCGCGCCAAGCTGAAGACAAGTCTAAAATTTACTCCTGATTAGAGTTCAACTTCCTGATTAACAAGACTTGAAAAACAAGTTCTCATTTAAATCACTGTCATACAGGGTTCAATGTGATATCGGTTCTTCGATTACTCATCAATGCGAGATATACGTACAATTATATTCGAAGTCACGGAATGATGGATATACACACTCTTCTTCAGGAAAATATGAACCGCTGTAAATCAGCCGCAAATTTATCGGCAGTATTAGAAATTTTGACTAAGACTGGCAGATCATCAGAATCTTGAAGTCCATCAATTCCGGATACCTGCATTGAACCTTTCAATTCCAAGCAACCAAAAGCGTGGTGATGAAAGTCTGAAATGTACTGAACTCAAAATAGCGTAAACCTGTCTTGAACGAAATCCTCCAGTAAGAAAAACTTGAAAGTACAGTACTGCTGTAATTATCACGTGAAGATAATCTTTTACACATTGAGCTTCAAATCTAATGATTTCCTCCAGGGGTCCTGTGATAAATTGAGGAAATCGCACCCAGGCTTCAAAAGTTTCGACTCGTTTCAATCGCGGTTCCAAGACTCGTCGTTAAAATTTTCAAAAAGCATGCTTTCTTACTGCTTAGCAGTTATTAATGCATATTTTTTAAATTTTCCTTCGACCCTTTTTCGAATATTCATAAAAGTGCTCAGTATAGGGTTACAGCAAGATTTGAAACTGCCAGCAGATAAATTTCAAGCTTTTTTTCGAAGGCTAAAACTGACGAGAGGGCGTTTCATTTGCGGTCTAGTTACGCAACATAGAAAATGAAATTAAATTTATTTTAAAATTCCAGCTTTCTGCATCAATGGAAATCCCGCGAAAACATACTGTAGTTACATACAATATTAGACTTCTAGTGGAAAAATTCTTCTAGAACTTGTTCTACTTAAAAAATAAAATAATCCAACGTCAACGTGACAATAGGCGCTTATTCACATACGGTACAGTGGGACGCCAACTTGAAAAATAATCCGTTGAAAGCAGATTTTGCACTTCTAAAATTATTTCTGTACATAATCGAGTAGGATTATTGTTACTGTTGTCTTCCAATGATGTACAGTACTCGAACACATTTTCTGATGCCTGGAGATTTTGTTTTGTTTTCAATGTCCGGAAGTTGAATCATCCGATTATTGGAATCGTAATTCGTCACGCATTCTCGTATGCGGTTCTACTTATTGTCAGCACCATAATAACGCGAAATAAATGCAACAAATAATTTCCCGGGGGAAAGAAGCTGATTCGTAGAAATGACTGCGGATCTGTCAACATGACGCAATGTATAGCCGTGGCAGACGCAAGAATGAATCGGGAAATCCGCATTTAGTTGACCTCGCATTCGTCATGGAAACTGACAAGAAATTCAACTCACGCAAGGCTGCAAGGGGATAGGACACCCGCGTGTCGCCCTTCGTGTGTGGCACAGTTCGGTAGTCAGTCAGGTTTTCCGGTGTCACGAAGTATACCCGGAAACCAGTGACAACCCCATTGGGTTCCAGAGGCAGGAGCCAACTCAGTTCCGCCGACTTGTCCGTTGTCCGCGACACGGTCAAGTTCCTCGGAGCACTCGGCACTGTCGAAAAGAAAACGAGGAAAAATTGATTCATATTTTTTCACAAACTCTTGAATTCGTTACCCTGTGGCTCTTTGCGGATCAAGAAATATATAAAACGATGCAAAGTATAATTATGTGTGTCTTTTCTTTTCTTTATAATAGCTGTTGAACCTCCGAATGTCCCGACTACTTTTTTTTAACGTGTATCTGACATCTTTTTGTAACTCTGTCCATAGTTCAAATAGTTTTGCTGGGTATCATTGACAAAAACTCGACCCCGTGAACCTCGTGTTCACTTGTATAAGCACTATTGTCTTGAGTTGCATACATTGATCTCAAATTATTCTAAAAAAAAAACGTGAAAAATTAAATAATTTTTTCATGAAGATTTATTTTGATTTTTTATTGAATTCGTTTCTCATAGATCAAAAAATATAAAATGAAAAAAAAATATTCCCAGCGTCCTTTCTTTATAACAGCTTTCCGGCATCCAAATGTCCCGAATACTTCTCTTGAATTTTTTTCCAACATCATTTCTCAAGTCTGTCGCTGGTTTAAGAATTAAACCAGTTTTTCTGGGTACCATTGAAATAAATTCAAATTCGTGGATCTCGTGTTTATTTGTAAGCTTTTTCGTCTTGGTTTGCATACATGTTCATCTTGAGAGAAATATACTTAACTCATGTGTATGAAGGGGTATCAAAACTTTCCCACGAATTCTAAGAACAACAATCTCACAGAAACATTTGAAATGCATAACCTACAGCTAGTTCGGGATAATTAGATCAATTTTGAAATTTAAAATAATGAAAATTACGGACATACACTACAGTACTGTATCGACATACAGTATTAAGCGAATCAACGTAAGTTTGTGCGTGAATGCATCTAATTGCAGAAATCAGGGACAATTGTAATCCTTGCTGATAAAATTAAAATTATTATTCGCTCGTTTCATCTCGGTGTAGTTTTGTACACAAAGAAAAACTACTCGTCTTCCCTGAAATTCAGTGCATGTTCCATCAAACTTGTAAAACGCAAGTATAATCCGATGAAACGTTTACGGCAATCCTCAGATTGTGAATTAACCTCGACCGCTTTCGAAATAATTAAGTGATTTAAGAAAGCCTTGATGATATCAATAGAACCTTATATATTTCGAAACTTCGCGATATTTCCTATTGAAAGAAACACAACTTCGAGGTCAGGTCCGATTCCGATCCAAGTGATCATTCGAAATGAACTTGATCAGTACTGATGCCAAATTTTGCAGCGGTGCTTGGGTTACTTGCGGTGTATTAAAAAAAGAGTGCTCACATTTCTGGTCACGCTGCAAAAATTGACTGTTCATTCACAAAAATGCACGCGGTAAACGAATGCGGGAACAAAATTTAAAATGAAGGAGGTAGTGTGGCCTTTGTGGTGCATTTAGAATTGAAGCTTACTGGCAATAAATAATACCCCGCGTTTTCTGCGTCACGCGTCTTCGGGTAGCTATTTTCGAGCTCACGATGCCTCGCCCTTAATACTTCACGTCCAGCGCAGTTGTAATTTTGAGTCCACCTCAATAAATTAAATTCATGGGGCTCGTAAACTCGTCGCCCACTGTCAAAACTTCGTCCATGATGCACCTGCTGTGACCACGAAAAGCGTGAATGCACGAAAGGGTCAGCGAAATGCTGTCTAAGAGAGACAACTTTCACCACCTTCAATTCTTCATGTGCAGTACCAGACTCCGATTTTTTTTTCGTGATGCAAAGACTCATTTCCAGCGATTTTTTCCAAGAATTCCCATATCCAAGAAAAATTTTCGCAAGGAAATGCAAATGAATACGACTAGAGAAAGTTTTGCTGTCATGTACGATGAAACACGTTCGCTTTCCCCGAGCGATTGCTTAAAAATAAACAGCATATGCGGTCAAACCCCATAGATAGAAACAGCATAATAACGTGACCAAAAATTGCATTGAAATTTAAAACAAGTCATACCTTGGAGATAACTGTACAACTTTTAGATGAACATCACGCTTCAGCCATGCTTCAGAGCATTCCATGATATACTTCAGCGTTTGTCTACCTTTCCAAAGAACCTAATGGAATAATAATACTGTACTGTAATTTTTCCAGATGAAGAATTCTATTCAGAGATTCAATTCAAGAAATTCCTGCAAATTTTAACTCGATATTTTGCCATCTGAGGTATTGTGGTGCTCTCAGATACAATTCGCGAACAATGTACAGTATTGAAAAGCTGGAAAATTCAATAAGTCACTACTTGATTCAAGGATGACATGATTTGGGAAGAACTTGAAAAATACAATTTGGTAAATGCACTTACCTCCTTCATCAGTCATGACAACTACAGTACTCGCTGGTCCAATTCCCTCAGGGTTCTTCACTGCCAATGACACGACGTACTGGGTGAAAGGTCTCAAGTCCTTGATCACGTAGTCCTGCACGGGTGAAAGAGAAGGATTTCATGCAAATGAAAAAGGAAGTATTTCGCAGATGTCGTAAAGGTTACTCGCCATGAAGTATATTTATCGTTGAGAGTTCCCAAGAAATTCCTGATCGGGATCGTGAAAACTTTAATCAATGCTGACGAGCACACCCGTGTCTCAAAATTTTCAGCATTGAAAATTATTTTCTCCAAGATTAATTTTTCTGAAATGCGATGATGCACAGTATCTCCAAAATACAGTAACAGATGTAGTCTTTTAAACCATTTTTAGCTCTGATCTTTCACACTACTGCTTTGTAATAAGTCGTGACAAATCCTCAAAAAGTTTTCCTCCGCTCTAATTTCCTTAATCCGACGTTCTTCTCGTGAACTTTGAAATCCAAGTTTTTCCTAATCCTCTTACTTTATGTCAGTTGGCACTGATCTGTATTTGCGTCAGTCCTTCCGATTCCGGCGAGTAAAAAAAGTTTAACCTTAAAAAAGTTCAATACAAAAGCAAAGAACGCACGGCAGTTCATTATTATTTTTGGTTATCCCAATCCGAAATTATGATCTGTATATGCTAAGTAATCGGTCGGCTTATTTGTTGTTCGAAACATAGTTAATTATTAACCTTCAAGAATTCTCAGCATTGAAATGAACCTTGGAAACGAATATACGACGAAAGCGGACGCAAAAAAATGGCTCATTTCCTATAGATCGAAAACATTTATTTTTTACTTGACTAAAAATATGAAACTTTATTCATCGATAAAAATCTCACCCGATAGCTCCTTTCGGAAATTGTGACCTTCACAGCATCAGATTCTGAGTCAGTTCTGGACCTGTATGTAATTTCGTATCCCGTGAATTCGCCGTGAAGAGTTTCGCTCGGCGGCGGAACCCACTGCAAACTGATGGATGTGGCGCTTTCGTTGTGGGCTTGTGTGATCGTCGGTTTACCGCTTGGCACTGAAAAATGAATCACGACATAATAAGTTCAATTAAAAACTTACAGACACATAGACTCAGATCTCAATTTCGCGAGACAGTAAATTACTCTCAGACGTTCATGCTAAAATCACCGGGATCCGAATCTCGGACGCAAATAAGGGAACTCTCAACAGAAATTTTTAAATATACTTGTATAAAGCATCAATACAAATAAATATTGAAACGCTTCTGAATGCATTTTCTGACGCACAGTACTTCAAATTAATATAAGTTCGTTACGAAGCAATAAGAAAGAAGATTTCTCTAAAATGTCTCAATTTTATAGAATTTCTGAAGATCCTGTTTATTGTAAAATATTTTCTCTTTCATTCGGTTGTTCTATCCGAACAAATAAGCAACTTATTTATTGGAATGCTAACTGATATTTTATCGAGCATTTCCGGAGCTCAGATCGTCAATTCGATGAAAAACGACCATGGAATTCAGCAATTCATAAAAGTTCAACAGTATTTCGAACATATAATTATCAGTGCAAAAAACCAAGATTCTCTTTAGTATGTGAAGCTTCAAAATATTGTACGCTACTTTTTGCGTCTGCGACTAATTAAAAAGCGCATATAATTTCTAGAACAGCGTTTCGCATCCTTGGCAAAATTACGTTTTAAATTAATCAAATAAAAGTATTTTTAGGCCTCTCATTCTTGAACTTGAATCGGAAGCAGTTACGCACTGCTCTTGAAAATTCTGGAAGATTCCAGGCTTCGCATCGCAGATATTTTCGTGCCATTACAATCCATCCCTACGTCTGTTAAATATCCAAGCTGGTCTAAAATCGTTAAAAAAAGAATTCAATCCGGAATTTCAATTTGGCCCTTGACTGTTTTCATCTTCAAGTCATAAACCCCAGCGGGTGTTGGCACTGTGTAAAAAAAACACAGAAGTTTCTGGAATTTTACAAGGCAATTATTTTTGCGAAAGTTCATTTTAAAACTGAGAAGGAAAAATATGAGTTGAGGGTCCACGTGCATATGTGAAAACATGCACGTGAGTTTCATTCACGGGTTCTTACACCTCGAAAGCGTTGCATCCAACGTGTGTCGCTGTCACGTCACACAGAGCCCCGCTGCTGTTGGTGCAAGTTCCCAATAACTGGGATTTTCCCCCCCAAAAAACCTTTGGCACGGTTCAGGGATGCAATTAAGACGAAGAGCAGCATCAGGGAAGAGTTTGGTCCAATTCCCTCAGGGTTCTTCACTGCCAATGACACGACGTACTGGGTGAAAGGTCTCAAGTCCTTGATCACGTAGTCCTGCACGGGTGAAAGAGAAGGATTTCATGCAAATGAAAAAGGAAGTTTTCGCAGATGTCGGAAAGGTTACTCGCCATGAAGTATATTTATCGTTGAGAGCTCCCAAGAAATTTCCTGATCGGGATCGCGAAAACTTTAATCAATGCTGACGAGCACACCCCATGTCTCAAAATTTTCAGCATTGAAAATTATTTTCTCCAAGATTACTTTTTCTGAAATGCCATGATGTACAGTATCTCCAAAATACAGTAACAGATGTAGTCTTTAAACCATTTTTAGCTCTGATCTTTCACACTACTGCTTTGTAATAAGTCGTGACAAATTCTCAAAAAGTTTTCCTCCACTCTAATTTCCTTAATCCGACGTTCTTCTCGTGAACTTTGAAATCCAAGTTTTTCCTAATCCTCTTACTTTATGTCAGTTGGCACTGATCTGTATTTGCGTCAGTCCTTCCGATTCCGGCGAGTAAAAAAAACGTTCAACCTTTGAAAAGTTCAATACAAAAGTAAAGAACACACGGCAGTTCATGAATATTTTTGGTTATCCCAATCCGAAATTATGATCTATATGCTGAGTTATTGGTCGGCTTATTTCTTTTTCAAAACATAGTTAATTATTAACCTTGAAGAATTCTCAGCATTGAAATGAACCTTGGAAACGAATATACGACGAAAGCGGACGCAAAAAAATGGCTCATTTCCTATAGATCGAAAACATTTATTTTTCACTTGACTAAAAATATGAAACTTTATTCATCGATAAAAATCTCACCCGATAGCTCCTTTCGGAAATTGTGACCTTCACAGCATCAGATTCCGAGTCAGTTCTGGCCCTGTATGTAATTTCGTATCCCGTGAATTCGCCGTGAAGAGTTTCGCTCGGCGGCGGAACCCACTGCAAACTGATGGATGTGGCGCTTTCGTTGTGGGCTTGTGTGATCGTCGGTTTACCGCTTGGCACTGAAAAATGAATCACGACATAATAAGTTCAATTAAAAACTTACAGACACATAGACTCAGATCTCAATTTCGCGAGACCGTAAATTATTCTAAACCGTTTATACTAAAATCACCGGGATCCGGATCTCGGACGCAACGGGAACTTTCAACAGAAAATTTTGAATATACTTGTATAAAGCATCAATCCAAAGAAATACTGAAACGCTTCTGAATGCATTTTCTGACGCACAGTACTTCAAAGCAATATAAGTTCTTAACGAGGCAATAAGAAAGAGGATTTCTCTAAAATGTCTCAATTTTATAGAATTTCTACAGATCCTATTTCACGTAAAATATTTTCTCTTTCATTCGGTTGTTCTATCCGAACAAATGAACAACTTATTTATTGGAATGCTAACTGATATTTTATCGAGAATTTTCGGAGCTCAGATCTTCAATTCGATGAAAAACGATCATGGACTTCAGCAATTCATAAAAGTTCAACAGTATTTCGAACATATGATTATCAGAGCAATTATAACCAAGATTCTCTTTAGTATGGGAAGTCGTATAGCTTCAAAATATTGTACGCTACTTTTCGTGTCTGCGACTAAAAAGCGCACATAATTTCTGGAACAGCGTTTCGCATCCTTGGCAAAATTACGTTTTAAATTAATCCAATAAAAGTATTTTTAGGCCTCTCATTCTTGAACTTGAATCGGAAGCAGTTACGCACTGCTCTTGAAAATTCTGGAAGATTCCAGGCTTTGCATCGCAGATTTTTTAGTGCCAATACAATCCATTCCTACGCCTGTTAAATATCTAAGCTGATCCAAAATCCTTAAAAAAAAGAATTCACTCTGGAATTTCAATTTGGCCCTTGACTGTTTTCTTCTTCAAGTCATAAACCCCAGCGGGTGTTGGCACTGTGTAAAAAAAACACAGAAGTTTATGGAATTTTTCAAGGCAATTATTTTTGCGCAAGTTCATTTTAAAATTGTGAAGGAAAAATATGCGTTGAGGGTCCATGTGCATATGTGAACACATGCACGTGAGTTTCATTCACGGGTTCTTACACCTCGAAAGCGTTGCATCCAACGTGTGTCTGACAGTGCAGTGTGTCTCGGGGCGACGACAACCACGTTCAAGGGTTATTGACCCTAAAAGGGGGGGTTTTTTGGAAACCGTGCCAAGTCCCTACGTTAATTCTGCTTCTCGTCGTAGTCCCTTCTCAGATGAGTAATTCACCCTAGCACCGGGTTTGTCATTAGTGCCGAGCAGCTGGCGACGCTCGCTTCAAGTTTCCAGACACGCTCGGTGAATAATGCAAAACTTGCCCCGTCTTTTCTCATACCCTGCTTGCTCATTTTCCCGGTTTACTAACGCTCAGTTCATGTGGAGCGAGTCACAGAGTTTAAACCTGTTTCGGCGAATCTCAGTGTCATCATATCCGGTTTCGTTACGAATAATAGCACTATACAGGAAAAAGGAGCTGCAGAACAATGAATGCCTCAGGGCTCAAAATGGCAGGAAATCATTCAAGAATATTTCCTATATGCCTCATTCATGGAAGACTTCGTGTTTCGTACCTGGATTCATGGGAATGCCTCAGGCTTTACCTGAATTAGCCGCAACAAATTTTCGGGATAACATGTTTTTGACTGAGTGTAGGTCTTGAACATTTCGTGGTATCACGCAACAACAACAAAAAATACTTTGAAGCTCATTCGAACGGTTTCTGAACAGTGTTCAGCTTTCTGTTTTCTTATATGCATTACTACGAGCTGGATTAAACAAAATATGACTGAATGAATAACTTTAAACATAAGTTGGCATATAAGGGTACTTAAAGAAGTTGATGCGATCATACAGAGGTTGTCTAAAATACGCGCGTCTTGAATTGGGTCACGAAGAGGAAGTTTTCCAAAATTTTTGCACGAATTAGAGTTTCTCGTAGTTTTTGAAAAAAAAAAATTTTCCACGACTTTCCTAAAAATGTGTAGACTAAAAAGAGCTAAGCATCTGTTGTGATAGAATTCAGCGGTTATTTTCGAACTCATATCTTCTTTGGCGAATAAAATCGATACAGATCACCCAGTTTTTCCCTTATTTTCCCTTGAATAATCAATCTCGAATGAAAATAAAAATCCAGAACGTTTCCCATCAGCCAGGGCGAGATGCTTTAGGACAATACACGTGAGCAGTGCGGCAACATATACAGTATTTGCTCTACAAAAATTGAATTTAAATTTAGCAGTTAATCATCTATGTGAACTATACTCCTCGCGTTTTCGAGATTATAATTCCTTATTCGACTTGAGAGACTGTACAAGTCTAAACATCGTTTGCATAGGCAGTGAAAATGTCTTGGATTCAATGAGAGCGTAGAAAAAATGCACAGAGGGCCAAGAAAATATTTGTCAGAAATGTTTCCTTTGAGACACGATCGATGGTTGAAAACAAAAATCATAATCTCGTCAAATAAGGTTGGATCGACCGCGTCAAACGAAAACATTTTGCGACAGAATGTTTCCCCGTCGAGACGTACTGCTTCCAACAACACAAAATACTGCACATGCCCGATTCAAATGCCTAAGCAGCGACCGCGAACCTTTGGTAACCCTATTCATGCATGCTAACTCAATCAATGGCACGGGACATATAGGTATAGAAATGAGGAGAGGGACGAGTCCGTCGTTGTGACAGATGTGCTTTGAAATTTACCTTCTCCGTCTCACTTTTAACCTATCCTGCCGACACTACCGCTCGACGCTGGCTCACGTAAGTGACGACGGTTCGCCTTCCTCATCTGCCATATGCCACTGTCCGGTCACTAAAGGTCTACGCAGAATAACAGTGGGGTTCGCAATCCCCCGTTCAAATCGTCCCAAATCCCCGTGTCCCCAACTCTGCAAAAATTTTAATGAAGAAACGTCATGATTATTCAGCATATTTCACAGCATTTCCCGCACGGTCTGGAAGCTTTATGGTCGCTCTGAGAGCCGATTTCAACGGAAAGCGACGGAATCATCGAACCAAAGTCACAGGCAGGTCATTGAAATGTGTAAAAAAAAACAAAACAATCAACAATAATAAAAATATGCGACGAAATGTACATCATCAAATTCGCACGAAAAAAACTTGTGCAATTAAAAACGGCAAAAGTTGAACTCAAGAGTGGACCAGAAAAAGTTGGCCATATTTAAGCACCAAAAATCTTTTGAATGGTTCAGGTTATAACATTCAAAAGAGAAGTGAATACAGTACAGTACATTCATTTCTACGCTCTAGATTTGAAATTATAATGACTTGAGAATAACAATGTGATCAACAAACGTTTTTGAATAAAATATACTATACCCAGAGAATAATGGTTCTTTTTCCCGCGCAAATGACGCCTGAATTACACGTGGGTTTCAAATTGACTGTTGTTTGAAGTGAAATTTTACGCCTATATAGGTGGGATTCTTTCCCCCCCCCCCCAAAAAAATTGAAATTCGTTTTTAAATTAGTGAAGATGGATTTAAAAGGGTAGCATTCCGTTTTCATGTCAAAGTTCCTCGCTTTTTGTAATTATTTCCTCGCAGAAATGGCGAATCAAGGCATACCAAATATCCGTCAAACTGGAAATTTTATTTTCTTCTGAAGCGACTTATTCTTCACCGAGAATAACCTCGATTTGTTATGCATTAAAAATAGACGGTAAAAGCTGCAATCGAAACATTTTCGAAAACAATGTGATGTTGTGTTGCGTATGCCGTATGTGAGGTCTTAGGGTAAAACTAAGCTTAAGACCGACTAATTTAGTCCAAGACTTTCACCCTCCTCTTCGGACAAAGTTCGTGCGGAAACTACACTGTATTCTGGTTTCCATTATCTCTTGACATCAATCCTGAAAAGTATCTTATTCTGGCGACAATAAATTTCGCAGCACACGCCAAGGCCCCAGGGAACCCTTCGCCATCCGGAACACAAATGGCATAACCCCACGCTTTCCCGGTCTCTCAGCAGCAGCTTCATATTGCTTTTGTGTACTGTATATATAGCAGTAGTCGTAGTACATTAGAGTCGGGAACGAAGCTGCTGCCGGTGAATAATTCTTGTCATATGTTCCACTTGCGCATTGACGAGCACCTTTCTTGAGCAGGAGACCCGGCGTTTGTTCGCCTTCGAATTGAAGGCGAAGGTGCATTTGTATGTTTATATACTAATCATGCGATCGTCGCTTGTTTTCGTTGTACCCCTGTGTAGGAAGCTACTTTATTACAGTTGAACTTCGACGATTCGAACCTCCCTATAACGACTGTTTTCTCAAGTCCTCGTCCGAATGACCTTCGAAAAAATCCATTAAAAACCACACTTACTCCAAAGTTTTCCTCTCAAGCCTCTGTAACTCGAATTTACTGAGGTTTTTCCGCTATTATTTTCTTGACACGGGGAAGATAAAAATCAACTCAATGTGCTTTGACAGGATGTGAAATGACTGAGCAACTGAACTCCTGCCTCAAGGTTTAGCATCCTGTCAACTCATTTACAAAGCAATTTCAGGCCCAGAATGTCACCAATTAAAATTTCCTGCAATTCTTCTACGTTTCCCACAACAAAAATGCTCGTTTCCCTAGCTTGAAATTTGACTTAGAAAAGGTCGACTGTATTTCGGAATCCGTTCCACTTCATAATCCAGGACAAACGAAAATGTATTGTACCATTACAGACGGCTTTCAAATGGAAAAATGTTTTGTCTGATACCTTGAGCAAGGCCAAGGGATGATACAGATTGACGATTCAAAGGTCAGGTCGTTCAAAAACAATTATTGTCAACAGGTTAAGAGCTATGGCTCTGAATTCATGCAACGAAAACCCTTATGCGATGTTTCCAGAACATATGATTGAAATTTCTTCCAAGAAATCTACACAAGAATCATTACTTCAAAGATCGAAAGAAGCCTCCCTAGTTTTCGAGAAGCAATTGATTCCTGGAAGACGTCATACTGAACACAAAAGCCGTGAAATTGAAAGATTTGAGAGTCTTGAATCATCAATTTGTCGTCTCATCGAATCGAGGTGTCGGAATCCCTGCAACGAAAATTCTGTACTTCTGAGGTAGTTTGAAATGTTCTCTGCCCGGAATAGTCTCAAAATGATTCATAAAATTGTGCGAAGCACTCAACAGCGAAACTTTAAAAAATAAATACGGTATGATATTGCGCAAGATTATAGTCATCTCTTGAAGTTGTATTAATTGATTACCCAGGAGAGGTTTTTTGAATAATGCATCATTTCTCCTAATTTTCGAACAATAAATTGAAGTCTGCTTGATATGCTGGCTGGAGTTTCAATTATTGGGATATTAGAACTACTTTCGCATTAGTAAATATTCCTCTTGGAAGCAATAAACTTTGAAATTTCATCTCGACATTTAAATTTACTGGGTCGACGAAAAAAATCCCCCTCTGTGCTAATTGATTAGTCCACGCATAGACAACACTAGCAAAAAATTCAGAAAATAGTATGTCCATAGTTATCGTCGTCTAGCTGGGACATAAAACCTGCAAATTTTCACCATTAGGATCTTCAATCTTTTGTGTGAACTACCTGCATCAAATTATTGAAAAATGATCGAAGAACATTCAAAAATTATACAGTATTAATCTTAATTTTTTTTACACATTTATGAATCTTTATTGGTGAGCCTTTTTTGCAAGCGATGTACCTGAAAGAGTACAAGAGATATTTTCCATTTGAAAAAGCAGCCTATTCCTTCTGATTTACCCCACGGAACGGAAAGCCAGGGATAGTACATCATTATTTCGGACAAGATGCAATACAGCATTGTCGCTTATACGTGTCTTCTGCTACTCCGGTTGACGTCGGTTTTCCTGCAGAAACGACCTACTCTAACGAACAAGGGGTACCTCTGATTCCCGTGCTGCAGAAGAGCAGGAAGTGTTTCATTGGGCTAGGGCGGACAAACATTTCAGCCCCCCAGGGCTCATCTCGAATATACCAACAAAATGTACCCGCGACGAGATATTATATAACACATATAAATTCGAATACCAATGCCTGCTTGCTTCCGGATGGTACAGGATGAATCCCGGGCTATGGGGACGCAATTTTTGCTATACTAGCTGATTTAATTAGAAAAAGCCTTTCTAATGAAAATATACATTGTAATCTGTGGACCACAAGTAGAGGAATTGATTTGGCCACAATATAAAACCTACAAGTATGAAGGCCAAATTGAATCATTGAATCATTTATTGACTGAGGACTTTTATAGTACACATCAAAATCTGATATTTTCCGTCATGCAACCTTGCAGGTGCTCTCAAATACTGGAAGTTCTTGCAAAGCATGTTCGCAA